AAATAAAGAAATAACGATGTGGCTCGCTCGATCTTTACAAGAGTCGACGAAATCAACGTATTCAGTAACACATCGGACAAAATGGGAATTCAAAAAAACAATTCTTGATTGATTAGCCACTTAGCATATCGATTTCGTAGATCGATTTAAGCATGTACCTAACCATTTTCGAAAAAAGAAATTAAGGGCCGGCATAATTTGGCAAGAGACCCTGTGTTGGAATCTGACTTTCCCAATACAAACCAATTTTGATAGGTCAGAGCTTTTTAGTGTTCCTCCCATTCAAACTGTCCTCTCTTGGTCCACCTCCACAGATGTACCCCCAGGCCCCTACAAAGCTCAAACACCATCCGGAAGCTCCAAAAGTCATATATATATATATATATATATATATATATATATATATATATATATATATATATTCACACACATATTTATTGTATGAGTCATATCATTGACGTGATAGATAGAACTATAGGAACATTGCATATTTATGTAACTCGATGCGAAACTGCTAACTAATAAACGTTTCGAACTGTCGATAAGACTCGGGATCTAAATTTTTATAGTACGCATCACCAACACAGAAGACAAAACCAAAGCCGAAATCGCGTCGGCTTACGCAACTTGGATGCGTGCTATGCCCGCTTTTGAAAATATGTTAAGAGTAAGCCTATTTTGACCATTTGCCGAGAAGGGGTCTCCATAAATTTGGCGCCCCCCTACAACAGAACACACAAAAACGAACAGCCTTTCGTGCGCCTGCTGAACATCCTCTAGTGGTTCACTTTAGCGAAAGCCGTGAACCAATGTCACAGCGAGATCAGTGATCCTTTTCAAAGGTTCTTGAGGCTTAGCTTCATGAGTCGCCATCAGGGAATTGATTCTCAGGGAAAGTGACAGGTTCCCAAGGAGACAGAAGAGGCCCTGCCAAAATGCCTTTCAAAGCCAAGCCCTCGTGACATTCACGTGGCCCAGGACCCCACGCCTGTTCTGTGTTTTCCTCTGCCTTAGCCACCAGAGGGGGATGCCCTCTGAGCCAAAGATTTTATCAGGGACGAGAATGTTTGGCACAGCAACCCACACATGATGCAATAAGATCACCAAAACCCACGAGTTTACTTTTGAGTAAGCTTTAATAATATCTCAATGTTTGGGCAAAAAAAGCAGGAAAGAGCAGTAAGAGTTTCGTTGTCAAAATCTCTTTTGGGCGAAACAGAGAGATATCTTAATTGGTAGAGAACGGGGAAATGCCATAAGATATGACTGATTTCTAAGGAAAAAAGTGCTAAGATCTATTTTCTAAAAATTTGAGGACAGGAATGTTTGGTAAATCATATTTATGGTCCCCACTAAAGGCCCCATTTTGTAGGTGATTTCCCACAACAAACACACCAAGTAAACCTCATGAAAGAACACAAAATGTTCAGCCAAATGGTCTCAGCTCCTCGTGCGACACGCTGTAGGTTTCATGTAGTGGTTAGGGAATACGTGCGGGGTATATGATCAATCTGGCAAATTGTCTCGCATTTAGGATACTGTACCCGGAGTTTCGGCTTTGCACACCTGGCCATGAGATCGATGGGGTATTTCACGGGACCAATTCAGACTTATGAGGAAAAGGGCATTCCACATATCTCTCGATACATTATTCCTCATCCCTCGCTTTATCTAGAGATGCATAGAGTATCTGAAAAAGGAGCAACCAGAACTTCAGAACGAAACCCCCTTTTGAAAACAACATGACTATTGGGTCCAATAAAAGTCTGACTCTACTTCAGAGAACCACACCACAACACAAGACAATTACAACACTGAGTTGCTTTGTAGGGGCCAGCCCGCCAATCACTCTCCAACAGAAAACTGGATCCTTTGCCCCTTCAATCTGACGACACTTCTCAAGCACTTAGCAAGTTAAAGAGGAAATAAAGGAAAAGAAAGCACGCACACACAGAGGTCAAGTACATGTAGAAGTATTGGAATTGAGATTTTTGCTCCAAGTACGAAGCATCTTCTCATTTGGTAAATGAAGTACTAGTGCATGCTTTCACTTTGTTTCTCTCTCTCTCTCTCTCTCTCTCTCTCTCTCTCTCTCTCTCTCTCTCTCTCTCTCTCTCTCAATCTAGACCCAAAAAGAAAGTAAGAGAGAGCCAAAAAGGAGAAATTCTCAAAAGGTTGTGTACATGGTGTCTGTGTAGGCTGAGTCTATGGTCCCCATGAAACATCGTGCCTTTGGGTTTTCAACGTTGGATCAAAAAGCAAAAAATCGCAACCGTCCGAGTTAAATATGTGGAACGTCTGAAACCTGTTGCATTTCCATCCAATGGTAAAAGATTGTAAGGGGCATGGTGCCCCTGGAGACCATAGAATTACCATTATGTACCAAGTCACAAACGGAATATACTTGTGGACTATTGACCATGCAAGCCTAAAGCCTTCCCTTTATATTCCCCTCACTTCCTTTATTTCCCTGCGCACTTCTCACCCGCTTTCTCAAGCTCCTGCCTCACACCAAGCAGCACAACTCCCTCTCTCTCTCTCTCTCTCTCTCTCTAAAATACTATCAGAGAAAGATGGCTTCAAACCCTTCAGCCTTCCTGAAAGAGAACTTTATATTTCACAGGATCATTCTAGTCTTGCTCCTAAGTTGCACACCAGATAGCACCAACCTTTCTAATGATTCATCTCCTTCTCAGGAAATTTCTCCTCCCTATGTTCCTTCAATACCTTCATCACTGAGAACGCTTCCCCTAGATGGACACTTCAATTTTGAGGACATCCAATATGCAGCGAAGGACTTTGGTTGTAGGTACTACAATCTACCTTTTGCAGTCCTCCATCCGAAATCAGTTTCCGATATCTCGTCGACCATAAAATACGTTTTCAAATTGGGGTCTACTTCAGGGCTGACTGTAGCCGCTAGAGGCCACGGTCACTCCCTCCAAGGCCAGTCCCAAGCCCCCAATGGTGTGGTCATCCACATGGAATCGCTCCGACTGCCAAAGATGCAAGTTCACAGTGGGGGGTCTCCATATGTGGATGTTTCGGGTGGTGAGCTATGGATAAACATTCTGCATGAGACTCTCAAACATGGTCTCGCACCGAAATCATGGACCGATTACCTGCATCTCACTGTGGGTGGCACTTTGTCTAATGCCGGAATAAGCGGGCAAGCGTTCTGGCACGGGCCTCAAATCGACAACGTCTATGAGCTAGAGGTGGCTACAGGTACTAATAAAACCTCTTGACTCCCTCCCCGCAGTAACAAACATAGCATTGCTCAGCAAATATTGAAAATAAGGAACAAGACATTCATGAAATAATACAAGGGTGTCACCCGTTTCAGTACTATATAGACAGGTTTATGATAGAGAAGTCAGAGAGCAAGCATAGCAAGAATAAGACTGCCTGGAAATAGTTGGGGTTAAATTGCAGCAGTTTTGGATGAAAGTAACAGCTATGATGATTATTGACTACTGTGGTAACTTTATGCAGGAAAAGGAGAAGTGATTACCTGTTCGAGGAAGCAAAACGCTGATCTCTTCCATGCCGTTTTAGGAGGTCTAGGACAATTCGGCATCATTACCAGGGCCAAAATATCTCTAGGACCCGCGCCAGAAAGGGTACGAAATGTGTCTTGTTTGCCTCTTAAGTCTTCAATTGTGCGATCCTAATTCAGTAGATGATCCGCCGAATTTCGCAGGTTAAGTGGATTAGAATGCTCTACCATGACTTCTCCATGTTCTCCGGGGATCAAGAGCATCTTATATCTCGTAAGATTACCTTTGACTACATCGAAGGATTCGTCAATATCAACAAAACAGGCATCCTCCATAAATGGAGATCTTCCTTCAAACCGAGTGATCCGCTTCAAGCCAGCCAGTTCAAATCCGAAGGGAAAGTCCTATATTGTCTTGAGGTGGCACTGTACTTCAATCCCCACGAATCCAACATAATCAGCAAGGTAGGAATCCACCACAATGCTTGGTATATTACTTGTACACCAAGCAAATGTTATTTTCCGGAATGAAATATTCTAATCCTGTCAAAGTGTAATGCAGAAAGTCGATGAGCTGCTGTCTGAACTGAGTTATATACGTTCGACACTTTTCATGTCGGAGGTTTCTCTTGTGGAATTCCTAGACAGAGTGCACCTAGACGAGATGAAACTCCGAGCAAAAGGATTATGGGATGTTCCACATCCATGGCTCAATCTTCTCGTTCCAAAAAGCAAGATCGGTGACTTTGCTAAAGAAGTCTTCGGCAATATTCTCACAGACAATAGCAATGGCCCTATCCTCATCTACCCAGTGAACAAGTCAAAGTAACCATGTGAAAATTCCTAACACTACTACTATTGCTTCTCGAGTATCAAGGTCTTAAATCTGCCTCTTTTTTCTGCCTTACAGGTGGAACAACAAAACCTCCTTGGTCACCCCAGATGAAGACATCTTCTACATGGTGGCATTCCTGCCGTCTGCAGTGCCATCGCCTTCAGGAACGAAGAGCCTAGAACACATTTTAGCCCAGAATGAGAGGATCAAAAGTCTCAGCTCCACAATGTTTCTTGGAATAAAGCAATACCTTTGCCATTATAGCACCCAAGAAGAATGGCAAACTCACTTCGGCCCTCAGTGGGAAGTGTTCGTCCAGAGGAAATCGGAGTATGACCCTCTAGCTATTCTTGGTCCAGGACAGAGAATCTTCCAAAGGACAAGTGGCAAAAGGACAGTGGCCCGTGTACAAGTCACGTAACATGAACACCGGGAGCATCTTCCAAACCCGTATTAACGGAATGTAAATTCAGATAAATCAATTTAGCTCTCTCGCTCAGGCTTGACGGCAAGTGTAAAATAACTAGCAGACTCAGCTTTTCTTTTCTTTTTTTCCGGTGGTGAGCAGTGATATCTAAAGATGCTATTGCCATTGTCTTGTTCCCAGAACAATTAATGGTCAGACCAAAACAAAAGGTGGATCACGAGACAATAGAATTCCATTACGAGGTGCATTTCAAGTAACCCTTCTTAAAATAACCAGAAGTGCCACATGTAAATTCAAAAGCTTGCTAGATAAGAACAAAACGGGAATCAAAGAAGCTTTATCATTAGTTACTTATCACATGCCGGTATAGCTACTCTATTTTTCACGCTTCTAATGTGTACCTTCGGTCCAGCCCACACTTGGTCTTGATACATCCCCCTGTGGTCCTTCGTAATCTCGGGCCTTGAGTAAGGCTTCTTCAAAGTCTGTAGAATCACTTGCTACTGGGAGAAAGCTACTTATGCCGTCTCTTGCTCCAAGACCTCCAGCGCAAGATCATCTGGGCTTATCGATGCTTCCATATTCACATCCCCAGAAGTTTCAAGATCCACTAAGCGTGCACCCTGTGTTGCATCTTCCCCTTCTTTCTTATCCTTTATGTTAAAAGGAACGGAGATTCCTGCAGAGCTATGGACATCTTTAGACACATCCTTCGCATCAAGTTCAGACTGAGCGGAACCAACTGTTTGTCCCATTTGAATATTATCATTCTTCCCTGTACCAGGAATAGTTCAAAGATTCCATTCAGTAATAAACCACTAGCTGGAAGTTACCACAGTGATAGCCAGGCAAAAAGAAAAGAAGCAGCATGCAATCCAAGAAAAAGAGAAAAACTCATGAAGTTTGAAACCGATGAAAGCATCCACAATTCCATTACCATTGGTTTAATTCATAATTTCACCACCAGTTAATTAGGGAACTGTGGCAGCAGTACCATACATTTCTAAAGCTCGAGAATCTCGAAACAAATTTCTTCCCTTCTCAGGAAAGTTTCACAAATGAAACAAGTTGATAATTCCAAGGAGTGTCATGACACAAGTACGGCAACGTTATTGTAGCACAGCAGAGGGAATTTGCTACAACTAGAGTGAAAACCACAAATGCCTAACAATATACATTCTTCTTACGTATTCACCTTGTAGAAATAGTTTAAATAGACTAGAATTTCTTCAACACGCTACCTTTAACTCTAAAGAACATAAACTCAACTGATCCTAACTACACATCCCACTACACAGAGAGAACAATATGTCCACCTGTGCCACTACATCACCATATTCCTTGCGAAATTAGGTGCAAACCTCTCCTTTTGTAATCATGTCCAACCTTTTTTCTTTGGAATCTGATCTGCTCGATTTAAGAAGGGCACTGGACATATTAACAAGGAGAAGAGAAATGCAACCAGGCCAATTCAGCAGAAGCAACATGAGATAAAACTCGCACAACTTGCCACACTTGTCTTTCTCTGTTTCTCCCTCTCCTTTTATTGTGGTTTTTGAGAGAGGCCCTAAAAGTTTAGCTGAAAGATATTTTATAGAACCGAAAAAAATCTACCTTCAACTAAACCAAATTCCCTATAACACATTTCAGGCTATATACCCCGTCCCCCTTAGATCCAACACTTTTACAGCTATTGTTTCTGTATTACTTATGATATGTCGTTTCATTCAATACTATCCTTCCCTCTGCAGTTACTTTAGCTTTCTATATAGTAATGGCTCCTTTTAATCCAGTTTGTAAAGAAAAAAAAACAGAGCCAAAAGGAATTGAATTAACTGACAATTCATTAAGCATGATATATTAAGCACCAAGGAAGAAAGTGTCACATCGCAAGTCCTGCATGGAGCGTAAAGTGATTCACGAGTGCTGAGTAGATAACAAATTGAGCATTTATTTGGAGGCTTGATGTCGTCCTCTTTCTCTTTGCACCGTTTCCCTCCAACAAATTCTACCCTAAAACGGCCCAAAAAAAAGTCACCACAAAAATTCCATGAATGCAAGAATTCAAGGACTATCCAATACTAGAAAAAAGAGTGCTGACTAGAACAAGCCAACCACTTGGGGAGGAACTTTTTACTTCTGACTTTTACAGCAACAGGAATGGAAAAGGAAGGGGGGGGGGGTTGTTTGGTTTGGGCTCTAGAGTGTTTGTTGCTGCTCATATTTTACAAGGGATGCTTACTTATAAATCAAACATGCCAGAGCTTGTCAACAAGTACTAATAGTAAAATTATTGGACCTTTCATTTCAATAATGCGTTTGGGTTCAAAGCCAGACTTAGATTTACAAATCCCTTCTTCCTAGGTGAAGACTTTCTAACGCCTCACCTCATGGCACCGAATAGAAACGAAAATAGAACACACCGAAAACCATATAAAGAATACCTCTATTCGACAAATTTTTTTAACAAATAAAAAGTTATCAATTTGAATCTGGAATAAATTCATTAATGGCAAAGATCAAACTAATAAGAAAAGGTGAAGAATGATCAATTTCAACTTTTCTATACTTTTTTCTAAAGTGAGAATGTTCCTCTTTGATAGCTTATTTTATGGCTTATGCTTCTTCAGTGAATATCTTGGTAGAAGTTATAAATTTTTAAAATTGAGGTTTAATGACTTCCAATTGGCTTTTAACAAAGGGGAACAGGCTCTAGACCCTCGTGAAGACACATTAATGAGTTACCTAATCTGAATATGTTACCAAAATACAGTCAGGAGCATCCAAGTGATCCATGTTGTCTATCACAGCAGCCCAAACAAAAGAACCTGCAGTTTTCTCTCATAGGGTCAGAATTTATAACAATTCATAATTCCATTATAAACGATGTTGGCAATACAGGAAAATCTACAAAAACCATCAGCTTTTCCCTGCGGCAACACTTTCCACGCTCTAGTTTCAAAAACAAGCACTTTGCACCCTCTCCTACACTCAGCACCATGATATTTCAAGAAAAGACTACACTCCATACGCTGTTTTCTATGGTTTTGTCATCCCTGGCTGCCGTCGCCTCAAAAATCTCCTACGTCTCGCCCTTTCTCTCATTCTTACATCGTTCCTTTGTCCCACTTTGTTTGCCCCCATCGCATTCAGTAGCTCAAGGACGAATGAATCCCCTTTCCGAGGACCAAAATAGAAAGACCGACCCGCTTGCTTACAGGGGGCCAACAACAAAGTTTCCCCAATCATCCATTCTTTTGAGGCTCAGGAGTACAGTTAGCTCCAGCCGTTTGATGCTTGTGCATCATGCACACGAGAGGGACTCCAAGTGGTGGGCTAAAATCCCACTCAGCCACTCAAACTCCAGTGCACGGGGGACGACCGAAACAAAACAAAAACAATCGGCCAAACACATGGAGCATAACCGCAAAACCCGCCATCACTCATAGAGTGTGTGGGCCTGTGAATGATTCCGCCACGGGGAATTTTCCCAACACCCCGTGATCCCACGAGGTAGTTCTCCTTTCGGCCCGACATTTCCAAGACGGCGCACGCATTACGCACGCACGCACCGCACGCCCCTCGCGGGCTTGCCACCTTGGCTAACAGAGCAGCCCGCACCCACCATCTTCAACTTGCGGAAGCGGAACGGACGCCTGCACGACGCGACGAGGAAAAGGGGAGAGAGAGAGAGAGAGAGAGAGAGAGAGAGGAAACCGAACCATTGCTCGTTACCTGGTGGGCGGAGGAGGGAGGAGGAGGAAGCGGAGCACGCGGCGTTGCTCGCCGCCTTTCGGGGACGAGGGTGGGCTTCGTTGCACTTCGGTGGAGGGTCTCTTCGGTTTGGTTGGGTTGGGTCGGGTCGGTGGTGGAGGGAGGAAGGAAGGAAGGAAGGACGGAAGGGAAGATTCAAGAATGGTGGCGCTGGCGTGGCTCGTGCTGGTCGCGGACACTTGTCGCCAGCCCCTGCCACGGACAGGGACAGGTGTCGTTGAGTCGTGGCGCTGGTCGGGAATGATTGACGGGGTGTCGGGGGGGATGTCTTTCGGAAATGCTCGCCTGGAACCGGAATGAACGGACGAAGTGTACCACGACTCACGAGCCATTGATCATGTCCGGCTCAAGGGCGGCCTGTGAAATCAACGGCTGTGATGTATTCGCAGTTTTTAGGCTGCGTATTTGAATCCGGATAACATATCGAATTATCTTAGTCGGTGTTTGACGGCATTCTCCGAACAGGATAGACCCGGATAAAATGCCGGATAAGAAATCCGGCTTAGGGGTGAGAAAAACCCGGAATGGATATGAAATTTAAAAAATTCATATTTTATCTTTTAACGAAACGATAAAGTAACGCATGGATATTGCTTCCCAAAGTCCACCAGCAAAACTACCGATCATCTCACTTCAAATCACCACATGATCGCTGTTGCCACCGATCATGCCAATCATCACCGCTAGCCGGCGATCGTGTTCCGACAAGTGAGGGTGAAAATGGGCCTAAAGACGATCGTCGCGCTGGGTTTGTATAAATCATCCTCTTCATCACAGTCGACATACATCCTTCCCATCAAGCCCAACTCACGAGCCAATTGTTCACCTACTGGTTTGACGAAAAACGGCTGGCACGCCATCAGCTTCTTATTGACCATGTTGTCAAGCTGTTGTGCATCAAGAATGCTGCAACAGCACCGTGGTGCAGAACCTACTCCCGCAAGGCCATCCCACGACGCACACCTTCTTTACTATCGCCTCTCTTAGCATCTTTTTTCAATAATGGAGTTCGGTCATAAGACCCACTGGAAGTGTCTCCCACCGTTCATGAGGTCATCTCAAAATTACATAAACTCGTCGGAGACCTCGTGCTCCTAAGGTCGACTTCCAAGAGATATGGTCGAGAGGGCTTAAGTCTCACATGTAAGAAAGCAAAGTCAATGATGGGATTTTCAAATGAAAAGGATTTTCGAGATTTTCAATGTTATCTTAGGTTGTGGAAAATATTTTTTCCAATGATTCTAAATCCTATATTAGATTGCACCAAACATATAATATGATATTTCTACAATTCTAGGACATGTAGAGGATTTCAAATCTTCCTTTATCCTATCATATTCCAATCTAAATTCGAACCGCCAAACATAGCTTTCCGTCCATGTGAGTTCAATTCACATCTATCGTTTGATGGTAGGGCTCATTTAATGCCCATCTCCATCAGTAAGGGAAAATTTACCAAAAAAGTCTTCAACTTCTTATATTTGTGACAACTCAGTTTTAAATCTTTTAATTTTATCAATTTAATTTTAAACTTCTTGATTATTTGTCAATTCGGTCATAAACTTTTCAATTGTACCAATTTAATTCTAAAACTTTTGACGATTTGCTAATTTAATACTAAACATTTTGACGATTTGCCAATATAGTCTTTTTCGGCCAGAATGACTAGCACTAGCCGTCCTACATGGCACGAGCAGTGTAACGCAGTTAATCTTTTGAAATTTTTAAAATTTTACGAATTTCTTTATTATTTTTTCTTCTTTTCTTTTTTCTTTTCTTTTTTTTTTAGTCGACGAGGTCGCCAGCCACAATCGAGGGTGTCAACACTCTCGCCGGCCAACGGGTGAGGGTTGCGTCTCTTGCCTATGGCCAACGAGGGTCGGCCAGTGACCTTACCAGCCTTGGGTTAGAAAAAAAATGAAAAGAAAAAAAGAAAGAAGAAAAACAGATTTAAAAAAATTATTAAAGTCAGCATCGGCCGTATACATAGGATGGTCAGTGATGACTAGATCGTCACGTCAATGATTTTCGGCAAAAATTAACGGAATGACTAAATTGGCAAAACTTTAAAAGTTTTAAAACTTAATTGGCATAGTTAAGAGATTTATGGCTAAATTGTCAAATCGTCAAAATGTTTAAGACTAAATTGGCCAAATTGAAAAGTTTTAAAACTGAATTAGCACAAATACAATAGATTTAGGACTTTTTTTAATAATTTTCCCGCTAGTAAGTGTTACCTTAACATGGACTAATCTATTTTTCTTGACGAAAATAACGTTCACTAATTTTTCTTACTTCAATCAAAGTACGACTTAGGTTGCGAATGATAGCCATTCTGTTTTTATTTTTCTGTTCCAGAAATAAGTTTGAAACAGAAATCCGTTTGATAACACAATTTCATTTTTCAATTTCTGGAATAAATTTTGATTTCAGAAACAGGTTTGGAACATAAATAAAAAGTAAAAATTTTCTACTTTTCTATTTCTGGAACAAAAATGAGAAATTTTTCTCATCGCTCGTCCTTGCTTCTAATCGGTCGCCCACCCACCACCCATCGCCGCCCACTTGCCGGCCGCCGCCTTCCGCCGTTCGTCGTCTCTCGCTAATAGCCGATGTCCGCCAACCCCCGTCTCCCACAGCCACCCGCCCCCCTCCCGCCACCACCCGCCGTCTCTCTCCGCCGACCGCCCGCCTCCTACCGTCGTCCTCTTCCTGCCGCCAATCGTCGCTCGCCTCCTGCCGCTGCCCAACGTCGCCTGCCTCCAGCCGCTGCCCGACGCCGGCCGCCTCTAGCCGCCATCCTTCACACTGGCTGCATCCACCGCCGCCTCCCCCCACTATCCACAGCCCCCCGTTCGCTGCCACCGTCCGCCCCCCTCTTGCCGTCACCCCCCTCCCCCCGTAGTCCGTCGCCCGCCGTTAGCTACCACCATCCGCCGTTTGCTGTCCGCCATCGCCACCGCCACCGCCATCCGCCCGCTGTCCACTCGCCAGTCACTCGAGAGGGAGAAATTTTGTGTCGTTATTAAATAAATTTTTATTTTGGGAACAAAAATTTGTGTCGTTATCAAACGTGTTTTTTTTGCTCAGAAATTCGTCTAGGAACAGAAATAGAAAAATTTGGCTGGAAATTGATTTATGAAACAGAATGATTGTCATTCGCAGCTTTAATGGCTACACAAATCGACAAACTAATGGCTGCCTCAAAAATCAAAGTAGGTGGGTAATATATAATTTGTCAATTGCCAATGGGCAAATGGCCCTACTGGTGAAGGAATTGGTGGGGTGAGGACAGAGAGAATTAGACTACTAGGTCCATCGATCCCCATGAGCACCGCACATGCATATACATAGTAGGAATGAGTAAGACAAAAAAAAAAAAGGTTTGTCAATTGTTACACACTGTCACCGAATTAATGGCAATTGTAACAAAGTTAATGAAGGTTTTGGGAAAGAGTGATGATATGCTCTCCAGAAACGAAGACATCCAATTGTTAGTGATTCAATAAAAATTGGGTTATTATTACAAAAAATCCAAAACTGATACACCTGTGACAAATTTACTTTCTATTAGTTTTCGTTAAATTTTATTATCAAATTACTTGTTTAAATGACACATAGCAGTTGACGAATGTACCAGTTTGGGGTTTGACCCTCCGTTTGTCCTAAGTGTACTAGTTTGTGATTTTTTTTATTAATACCACGAAAAACCCTAAACTGGTACACTAGTGACCAATTTACCCCGAACTATTTTTTGACCACAAAAAATCACAAACTGGTACACCTGTGACAATTTTACCCCGAACTAATTTTTTAATATTAATTTTCATTTTTTCAAATTTTTTTATTTCTTTTCTTTTTCCTTTCCTTTTCGTTTTTTTTCCTTCATCTTCTTTATCTTCAACCTTTGGCCGGTCGCCGACAACCAGCTAGAGGCGAGGGCCGGCGAGGTTGGCCCCGTCGGCTGCTGGCGAGGCCGATCTTACTGGCAACTGGCGAGGTGGACATTGCCCACCCCTGGCCAGGTTTGACCTTGCCAGTTGCCGGCGAGTTCAAGCCTCGCCAGATCTAGCGAGGGGTCATCCTCGCCGTTGTTGGCGAGGCTTGGCCTCGTCGGCAACTGGCGAGGGCAGCCTTGCCCGCCCCTGGCAAGGCTCGACCTTGCCGTTGCTGGGCGAGGCCAACCTCGCCAACGCCGGCGAGGACGACCCCTTGCCAGTTCTAGCAAGGCTTCAAACTCGTCGGCAACTAGCGAGGTCGGCCTCGCCCAAAAGCAGCGAGGTTGAGCCTTAGCCGACCTCGCTAGTGGCTGGTGGGGTCGATCTCGCCGACCCCCACCTCTGGTCGGTCATAGGATCGGCGACTGGCCAGAGGTTGAAGATAAAGAAGATGAAGGAAAAAGAAAAAATAATCGAAAAAAACAAAAAAAAAAAATTAAAAAATTAGTTCAGGGTAAAATTGTTGCAGGTGTACCAATTTAGGGTTTTTAGTGGTAAAAAAAATAGTTAAGGGTAAAATTGTTAAAGGTGTACCAGTTTGGGATTTTTTACGGTCAAAAAAATAGTTTGGGGTAAATTTATCATAAGTGTACCAGTTTGGAGTTTTTCGTGGTATTAACCTTTTTTTTGTATTTATTCAATTTCATGGAGGTTAAATTTGTCACGAATATACAAATTTGGGATTTTTGGTGGTCAAAAATTAGTTTAGAGTTAATTTGTCACAAATGCACCAATTTGGGGTTTTTTTATGATATTAACCCATAAAAATTCCATCAAAAAGACAGACTTCAGACACTAGATTTCTCATCTTTTCTTACCTTAATGTATTTGATGTTTCAAGTAGGAAAGTTGACATGGAAAATTTTTAAACTTTAGCTTAATGTGCAATATTATGTTTGGATTTTCAATTCGTCCAATGTAGTTCTTAAACTATTTTTAGACGTTCAATGTGATATCTCAACTCTCAATTTGTCCACTAATCCTTCAACTTGTCATGACAAAGTCAAAACATCTCCTTGTACTATTCACACGGTTTGGTACTTACATTATTGCCAAAATTTTAGAATATCTTTTCTTTCTGTCATTTTCCTAAAACAACAAAAAGAAATGTGATATCTTTTATTACCTTTTTTATCTTTATAAAAATTACACGGTCTCATATAAGATTACGATCTCTACAATAGTAAAAGTGGAAACTCATCTAGAGTTGTATCGGGTTGATATTCCAACTTTTTTTATGGCTAAGTGTTTTCAAAATAAAATCTAAAAATTGATACTTGTACTTATATGGGACTATGTAATTTTTTTTCGATCAAAATTCTCAATCTTTTGTGTTTCGTGTTTTATAAGGACTAATATATGCAGATAAATTAATATCGTATATCCTTATGAAAATACTTAGACATGAAATAGCAGGAATATCAACCCGATACAAATATAAATAAACTACTTTTACTATTTTAGAGATTATAAGTTAAATTTTGCTTAAACGAAACTATCATAGTATTTCCAAAAACCAATAATGTAAACAGATAATAAAAAGATAGCACATTATTTATTGATTTAGAAAAAGGATTGTGATGAAAAGATATTCTAAAATATACGAGCAATACAATGAAAACTTGTGAATAAGTTCTAAACAACTTATTGGATCTTGTCGGAAAGTCGAGGAACTAGATCAAACAAATTAAAAATTAAAAGACTGCATCGAATACTTAGGAACAATTTAACAATCATATTGAACGAATCAAAAGTCGAAGAACACAATATACATCGGATCAAAGTTCATAGGCTATTAGTGCCATCTTCCCTTTCAAATGCTTATCATGCTTGCGACGTGATCTTTGTTAATTGACACAATAGATTTAAAGTTGGAATCAGCGTACTAGAAGTCTTAAAATTTATTGCGAAAATGCATTTGAGTTTCAAAACTTTCAATAAGTGCAATCAATTCCTAAAACTTGTCAAATTTGTGCAATTAAATCCTTATATTAACATTGTCATTCGTCTAACAGAAATTGTCAACGTGACATTTTTAAATTAAGGGTTAATACCATGAAAAACCCTAAACTGGTATACCTGTGACAGTTTTACCCGAACTATTTTTTTGATCACAAAAACCCCCAAACCCCAAACTGGTACACCTGTGATAAATTTATCCCGAAATATTTTTTTGACCACGAAGAATCCAAACTAATACATATGTAACAATTTTACCCCGAACTATTTTTTGAACACCAAAAACCCCATACTGGTATACCTGTAACAATTTTACCCCTGAACTAATTTTTTGACTACTAAAAATCCCAAATTAGTACATTTATGACAAATTTGCCCTCTGTTAGTGTCCATTAAATTGGATTAATATCACGAAAAATCACAAAATGTAAACTTGTGATAAACAGAGGGATAAAACCCAAAATCGGTACACCTATCAATTACCACGAATCATTAAACTTAATAATTTGACAGTAAAATTTAACGAAAACTAACGGAGGGTAAATTTGTTATAGGTGTACCAATTTGGGGTTTTTGGTGGTCAAAAAATTAGTTTATGGGTAAAATGGTTACAGGTGTACTAGTGTGTGGTTTTTGGTAGTCAAAAAAATAATTTGGAGTAAAATTGTCACAGGTGTACTAGTTTGAGGTTTTCTGTGGTCAAAAAAATAGTTTGGAGTAAATTTATCACAAGTGTACCAGTTTTAGGTTTTTCATGGTATTAACCCTTAAATTAATTTCTCGCTCCTGCGTGACATTTTTATTATTATTTTATTCAAATATTATTTAAATTAAATTTTTATATTTAAATTAGATTAAAAAACTAAAAAAAGGTAAAATTCTATCTTAAAAAAACAATAGTGAAAAAAACACAAACATAAGGGAGTCTAGCCTGTGGGGTGCTGCCGCCGTCGCCATCGTCGCCCATTGGAAGAAGGGTCGGTGACCTTAGGCGAGGGTGGAGGTAAGGGTCGGCAAGACTTTGGGTTGAGGATGCCCAGATTTGGCTACACTGGCCCTCAGGGCCGCTAACCCTCGCCATGCCCAATCGAGGCCTCGCCGGCCCTTGCTTAGATAAATATGTGAATACAAATTACACACACATATATATATAATATAAATTACACACACACATATATATATATATATATATATATATATATATATATGTCCATGCTAGAGATGATATTCTGTGGGAGGAAATTATCAAATCGCCGTTAAAAACACCGAAATTCAAAATCCTCCCCCCTCTCTCTCTCTCGGTGTCTCGTCAGTTGTCACTCTCTCTTCACTTTCGCCCTTGCTTCGTAACCAAGCATACGATGCCCTACCCCCCGATGAACACCACCATCACCACCGCCACGACCATATAGCTCCGTCTCACTCGTCCCCCGCTCCCTCGTTCCCCTCGATCGCGATCCCGACTCCTCCGCCGCAACCGACCATGCCGCCGGCGATCGACCTCCGATCCCCCGCCCCCCCCTCCGTCCCCGGGAACCCTAAGCCCGAGCCCCCCGCCGCCGGGCGCGGAGGCGGAGAGGGACTCGAGCCTCGTGGAGGGCGGGCGCCGCCGCCGCAGCCGAGGCGGCGGAAGCCGAGGCTCGTGAAGGTGAGGAGGCGCGCGGAGGTGAGGCCGGCGGCGGCGGCGGCGGGGGATGAGGTCGGTTCCGTCTGCAATCCGTTTCGCGCTGAGTGTGATGCCGAGCGCCGAGTGAGGTACGGCAGTGTTGTTAATTTATGTTCGGAGGATACTAGGTTGAGCAACGGGGATGGTGCGATTGGGCCGGAGGTTGAGTGCTCCTTTGAGGATGTTGGTTTTGTATTTGGTGCTCCTCGGAGGAGTTCCGCGCTCGATATGGACTTCTCGGCCAGCGGCGCCACTGCATTTGTAGGTGAACCGGCTTCAGATGATGATGGTGCAAGGGACCGTAGGAAGTTTGAGAGCGCGGGCTTTGTGTTGTTTGGTGCCGAGCGGAGAGATTTGGAATTGAACTCGGGATTGGAAAATGGAAATTCTGGCGGAGATACTCAAAAGTCGGCTTTTGGAAATGGAGCAGATGTGGGAGCAGATTCTGCACGGTCGTGTGGAAACCTTGATGATTTCAGTCATGTTTGCAATAGCAATAAGACTGCTCCAGAGCCAAATTTGAATCTAGGGAAGGGTGGATGTGGTAGAACTGGGCCATTTTCTTGCTGTAAGGAGAATGGCAAGGCCAAGCTGGAGACTGAAGTGCATGCTGGAAATGCAGGCTTTTCTTCTGTTGAGAATGAATATGGCCTTGAATCAGTTTCTGAAAGGGAACAATCCTCTGACGATGTAGAAGAAGCTGGTTGTATTGATGGAAAAGCCTCCAGGAGTAATGATAATGCATTTTTTATGTTTGGTGCTGATCATGGCCAGTCAACATCAGTACCGTGGTCAGAGAAAGGAAGCACCAGGAAAGAGCGTGAGCTTAAGGAGAATGGGGACTCGGGCTTTGTTTTTGGCTCCAGTTGGTTTAGTTTGGGAGCAAACCTGAATACCAAAACAGAAGAATCCAGGGAAAATCTTGAAAATCTGGAACTCCGTGATAATGGTGATTTTAAATTAGGAACTGAGGTAGAGCCCCAGAGGACGCAACCTACAGAAGCTCTATCCAATGAGGGTCACGGGAATGGCCTCTTTGTATTTAAAGGTAGTTCCGAAAAAATTTCTATTCAATGTAAAAGACGGGAAAAAAGTAGCAATACCGGGATGACACTGGATGGTGACAATTTTGGAAATAGGAGCAGTGACTCAGATGAACAAATTGTCAACTTGGGCTCCAATGACATGGAGAATAACAAATCGGCATCTATTTGTAGTGCTGGTGCTGCTGGGAGCAGTAGCACATTAGATCTTCCGGAAAATATGCAGGATTTAAGCATTGAGGATAGACGAGATACTGGTGGTGCTAACGATGGGAATAACAGCACCAATTCTGAAGCTGCATTTGTTTTCAGAAGTGGTCCATGTGTTTCTAACTCTTTCCATGGGAATTTGGCAACTCCCATGGGTCAGACCAAAAATCCAAATTTTGATGGGCTTTCTGATCCTGCGGAGAGTGGGAGTAGTTTCGCAAAGGTTGAAGAGGGTCAATTCATATTTAATAATTATACAAATATTGCTTGTGAGTCTACTGGAATTTCTAGCCACAAGCCATTTATATTTCAAGCTGGTATTAGTGAGAGTTCTGATATGGCTCAGTGCTCTTCTAACCCAGTGAATGATAGTACCCTTGCGGAGAATTTAGACAATAAAGAAAAGTTTAGCTTCACGAACACTTTGGATGGTTCAGGGGCATCTAATGGAGATTTTAGGGTTCCTGAGTGGGATCCTTCATGCTTCAAAGCAAATTTGTGTCAAGATTTGAAAATTGAATTCAATGAAAAGCGTAGAACAACAAAGTATAAAAAGTATAAGAAGAATGCAAAGTTGAGGCAACCTTCTAAAGGAAAGCTAACTGCTGAAGAGGATCATGGGCTGGCTGAAAGCAATTGCCAAGAAATGACGCAAGCTCCGGATTGCTATTCGCCCATGGATTTTTCTCCTTATCAAGAAGCTGCAGCAAACGATCAGTGTTCCAGGCAGAGTTCTTCGGTGACATTGGATGAGTCCATTGCCTTCAGTAATGAAAATGCAGCCTTGGCATCAAGCTCAACAATCCCTACTACCGATGGACATATGGGTAGTTCAATGGAAAGATTAGTCAGTGATGAAGGTAATTCGAAGTTTGGCGAGACTGTTTCAGGTGCTGAAGCTGCTCACTTCAAGCCCAGCACTGATCATCCCTGTAGCACCTTTGGAGCTGCTGTTGCTTCAGCAGAAGATGGAAGTGTTTTCTCAATAGCTGAGAATCAGGCTACTGATTATATGAAACAGTCTGCGTTTGCTTCTAATCTGGATGAAGTAAAATATAAAACTTTTGTCTTCTCTGCATCATCCTCTGCCCAGACTGGTTTACTGGACAGAAAGCGGTTGCATAAAAAGAAAAGTAGAGTTAAAAGTGAGAATTGTCCTTTTGTTATTTCTCCATGTCCAGGTGCCAGGGATGGATCCTTCTCGATGCAGCTTCCAAACTCTTTTGGTACTTCTTTCCCTTCGGACACAAAGCAAGGGCAGGAAGGACGATCTAGACTGTTTCAAGAGAAAGAGCAGAACATTTTGAATTCAAATGGAAATGTCATAGATGGTGAGACCAATTTATCCTCATCTGCTATGATCCAAGAAGCCTGTGAAAAGTGGCGACTCAGGTACCTTTGATCTTCTGTTGTATTACGCTTAAATGGTCATCTCTAATGTGCTAGATTATTTGTGTAAGTTATCGTGGTGAAGGCTGTCCATTGACAGGGTTATTTATTTTGTGTAACAGGGGAAATCAAGCTTATAAAAATGGGAGATTTTCCAGAGCAGAAGAGTATTACGCGAAAGGTGTAAACTCAGTTCCTTCTGGTGAAGCATCAGGATACTGCCTTAAGCCTCTTTTATTGTGCTACAGCAATCGTGCAGCTACTCGGATGTCTCTTGGAAGAATTAGGGAAGCCATTGAAGATTGCATTGCTGCTACGACAATTGATCCTAATTTCCTCAAAGTTCAAATAAGGGCTGCAAAGTAAGGCTCATTCATAGATACTGTTTGGAATTAGAATATGATTGATTCTTGCTGGCTCTTAACTATCTATAAATATTCTTGAATAGTAATTTAACTGTCTTTGAATTAAGTGGTTTCTTATCTTTTTTTGCTTTTCTGAGTCAATATTGTTGTTAGTTTTCCTTCTTGGCAATAGTGTCTCTGCGGAGTAGGCTGGAAGGTAAAAACTGTATCTGTACTCTTTCGTTTTTCCCTGGTAATAATCTATTTTACATTCCATGTTAGTTGACATCGTAAATAGAAATAAAACAAGAGATGCGTGGATAGACTAATTAATTACCAAATGTCTTGTTTGCAAGCAATCTCATTTGTCATCATCTGTCTACATTCTTTAATGGCTGGAGATCTTGGAGAAATATCTTTTACATTTGTCCCCTATGTCCTTGCAGTTGTCATCTAATTTTAGGGGAAGTAGAAAATGCCTCGAACTATTTTAATAAGTGCTTGGCAACCGGTGCTGACATATGTTTGGATCGAAGGCTTGTGATAGAAGCTGCAGATGGCCTACAAAAGGCGCAGGTGATGCTTGTCTACATCTTCTTGTGTGGGTTTTTCCATTTCTAGTCTTTCAAAGTTATCAATACTATGGCTCATCTGTGTTTGTTTTCTGGTGATTAAATGTCAGTGATCTTCTGCTAATCTGTGACTTCATTTTCCATATCTACCATGACATGTTAGTTAGGAGGACATAATAATAGACCATACATCCAAATTTTATAGCAACTACTGAGTTGGGCCTTGCGCTGTGTTTCTCCATGCAAGCCCTTCTTTGAGGCGTCTTTCACTCTCAACTGACCTTGTTTAGTGTTGTGCTTTGAAACATCACATGGACTTCTTTTGTTATATATAAGATGAACAGTTGCAGCTCATACCCAGGTATGGGCTGAGGGTGGTGGTTGAAGGCTTTGAGATTCTTGCATGTGGTGAGATTCATTGCTGAAGTCTCTTTTTGAGCTTTTTTCATCCTTTTGGAAGTCAAAATCCAAACAATACTCCAATCATTGCAAGTCTCTTTTTGAGCTTTTTTCATTCTTCTGGAAGTCAAAATACGCTTATTGCCACTTGCAATGATTGGAGTATTGTTTGGACTATTAAAGGAGCACGAGTCTATTTTTTGTCTTCTTGATGCTGGGTTATAATTAATATGAGAATTGTGGGTAGTAATGAGATACTGTGGAAGTTGTTCTGTGAAATTGATTAGGTCGAGGACGATAACTTTCAGTTTCAAGTTTCGTATGTATCTGCTGCCATTGCTCGGTGTCATAGAACTTGTAAATGATCTCTGGAAACGATTCTTTGTAGCTGTTGCTGGAGAACATGAGGTGGAGTCATTCTAAGCTGTGGGCTTCAAAGAATGAAAGCCTATGTGTTGCCATCTTTCGGATGGAGAGAATTGGTCTATGGACATGGAGCATTCAATCCTTGAGTTTTTGTTTAATTGGGGAATTATGTGATATTTTCTAGCTCAAATTACTCTCTCTCTCTCTCTCTCTCTCTCTTCGCGTGCACACTTTTGTGTTAAGGGATGATAGTGCTTTGTTTGCTCTGCATAGTTTCCGGTGTCTTATCATAAGGAACTCACTTTGATGGTATCCTTCCTAGCAGAAAGTGGCTGAATGTATAAGTCTTTCTACTAAAATGTTGGAAGAGAAGACATCTGATGCAGCAACAAGAGCTCTAGAAATGCTTTCAGAGGCAATATCAATCAGTAAATTCTCAGAGAAACTACTGGAAATGAAAGCACAAGCATTGCATATGGTATGTACTGTCTCAATGACTCAACCCACTGTATTTTCTTGTAGTCCAGATTTCTTCAAGCTAGCTAAGATCTTGAACCATCTGCCCATGTATTTAAAGCATGAAAGAAGTTTCTGGCCTGTCACTGACTTTATTTTTGGTTAAATGCAGCTTCGGAAGTATGATGATGTCGTGAAGTTGTGTGAGCAGTCTCTTAAGTTTGCTGAAAAGAACTTTGGTGCATTAGGTGTGAACCTTACGTCGGATATGGTTGATTCCGACTGTGGAGGAAACTCAGCTGTGAGGCTCTGGAGGTTTTTCATGATGGCTAAGTCTTACTTTTGCCTGGGAAGGCTTGAGGAGGCTCTTGAGTTACTTGAGAAGATTGAGCAAACTGAATGTTATGGTGACAGGTAATGCATCATTTGTCTTGTTTTTTGTTCTTTTTACACTTATATAGGTTAAGGTGCTCTATGCTGGCTGTTGTAGGCACAACTTAGCAATTTCGTTGTATTTTCTTCCATTCATAGGTGCCAGGATAAGATTCTGAAATCATCAGCTTCAGTATCTTCCACAATTCGTCGGCTGCTAAAGTGCAAGGTATGCATGAAAAGGTTTATTTCTTTTTAGGTTGTTGATTTTCATTTTTTGATCTGATTGTGGGACTTCGGTGCACAACATTAATCATGTAAATCGATGCTGCATCCTTCTTTTTTTTTTTTTTGGTTGAAAATGCAGCATCCTTCTTCAAGTGTAAAATTAGCAGCGCTTTCTTTGGATTTGGATACATGGGGCGATTTTGGTATTTAGATAATAACTTCAACTTTCATTTTCACCAAAAAGAAAAAAAGAAAACATTTTTGTATTCATTTTTCAAATTTTAAAATGTGTCTTCGTGAAAATTGTGAAAGTATGTTGTGCTTCTATGATTCAACCAGAAGCATAAAATTCAGTGTTTCAGTGTCAGGTTTTATTTTATGCTATTATTAAACAATTAGTGGTCTTAAATGATTTAGTTAGTAATGAGATGTGTATATAAATGATAGCATAACCTTATACATTATCAATTATGTTTTCCGGAAAACCTTTAGTAAGAAAAGACCTGTTAATACAAATGAATGGGGATGAACTGGTTTGACATGTCTTCCCCTCCCCTCCCCTCATCCTCATCCTTAGTGAAGATTCGTTGGGAACTTTCCTTGTAGCTTCCTTTATTAACTTTTTAAGAAGCTCTTCATTCAGTCAAGCGATGGAGCTTTCCAAGAAGCTCTTCAATTAAACAAGTCATTACAAAGTTGAGGGATAGGGTTACAACATATTTTCAAGAAAAATGTAAGTGTATCTCATCCTGGTAGCATGGAGGTTCATCTGAAAATATGCCCAAGTTGGCATCTCAGCTTCTAAACTAGACTAGATGCAAACGTCAGAAGAAACTCAATGATGACTTGAGATTCTAGCCAGTGAAGTAAACTGCTTAGAACATGTGGCTTTGTTTCATAGCTAAAATATCTTCTTTATTTTCGCCCATAGAATGCAGGAAATGAAGCCTTTCGATTGAGAAGTTATGCAGAAGCAGTAGAGCATTACTCTATTGCTCTGTCAAGCAATGTTGAGTCACGACCTTTTGCAGCAATATGCTTTTGCAACCGAGCTGCTGCACATCAAGCTATGGGCCAAATTGCTGATGCCATTGCAGATTGCAGTCTAGCCATTGCACTTGATGGACATTATGCAAAGGTTTCTTTCATACTTGCATGTTTAGCTATACCGTAGCATAGATTTATATCATGCGCGACCCGTCCTTTTAGATGACAATGGATCTTGGGAGACTCCGCTTCTTAATAGACAAGGCTGATTTATTGCTAGTTACAGTTGGTTGCTCATCTGTTTATCATTTCTGGCTGTACCTGCATACTGATTTCCTGTGGCAAATTACACATTTCGTATTTGAAAGTACTTTTGACATTTCACAGCGGCAACAGAAATGCCTGTCAACTATAACTAGGTGTTAGGTGGCTGATTTGCTCATATATGTGAAGTAAAAGTTTCTTGATGATGTAAAACATTTTCATATTTAAGGAAGGCATTCTGTCTTTGATTTGATTATCATTTAATGTGGTGGCTGGATTCACGTAAGTCCATGTATCAAGACTGAACTTTGTGCATCTGATGCACATTATACTTGAACTCACCACTTTATGCTGAGGCACTTGTTTCAGCTAGACACTAGACACAGATATGGGTACAACGGCAATTCAACGTTGAACTTGTGTGATCATAGGCCACTAGGTTAGGCTTCTGTTTTTCCGGCCTTCATCCTCAATATAGGTTAGTTTTGCTTTGTTTTTTTCTTTTTGTTCCCTTATGTTCCAGCTTTGTCAAATAAAGTACAAATGCAGAACTAATCTTCATTTCTGCTGATAGTAATCTCGGACCTGCTTTTTTGGAGAACAAGATAACTAGATGTTTAGATCCTGTGGATCTGGTTCTGGTCAGATTCACATTTTTTTGTGGTTGTGACCTGCTTTAATAAAGACGTATCTTTTTAAAGGCTTCGACCCAAAAACAGGACCTTTCACTTCACGACCTCCAGTATACAAGGCCTCATAACATCCACTCCCAAAGAATCTTAAATTGTGAAATCCACCTCCGAACATCTCGATTAGATTTGGGCATTTAAATTCACCAAATGATGAAGACAAACCTCTCTCTTGATGTTAATTCATATTATGAACTACTTGTCTTGATAAATTACGACACAGCAGGACTTAAATACCAAATTGAAGCGTGTAAAATTTTCATATGATATATGGATATGTATCTGTAGCCATGTTCTAGTTCTAATTTTGGATACTCTTACTTGTGCTCTATATTCTGTTTCCACATGGGAGAGTTCTTCTAGTAGTTAGCTCTAAGTTTTCCATAGATGTTCAGTACAACTGTACCTAATTCGTCAATGCTTCCGCAGGCAGTTTCTAGAAGAGCAACCTTACACGAATTGATCAGAGACTATAAACAAGCAGCTAGTGATGTCCAGAGGTTTATATCTATTCTTGAAAATCCATCTCATCAAAAGACTAAAGCTTCTGGCACATCGGGGGAGCTTGATAGCAGAAATAATGAACTGAGGAAAGCTAAGAAACGCTGGTCCTTAATAGAAGAGGAAGCTAAGAAAGGAACACCATTGGATGTTTACCTAATTTTGTAAGTTTTTCAGTCACTCAGATAGTGGAATTTGTATTGCTTTGCCACGTTGTTTGTAGACAATATACTTTCTCTCATAGATGGTTTGCATCACATGAATTAATTTTCTCAACCTTGCTGCACGGCATTTTTTTTTTAACATGCACAAATTTTTTAGACATTAGCCAACATAGCTGACAGCCCAATGCCCAAAGTTCTCTTAAGGTCCTCCATCATCACCATTAAATGATCGTGCTTTGTGTAATCTTGAAGTTTAAAAAGTTAAATGGCATGGATTTGGAGTCTGAAAGCCTATTCAAGGCTGCTCCACAGTATGTAGATATACTATTTAGACAGCAATGGGTATAGAAATTTATCTTAGTGGGGGCAAAAAAATTGATCAGTTAGTAGTTTAATAATTAAGACATTGCTCTAACTCCTAAAACTACCGTAAGATTTTATATTATAGGTTTTGTTTGTCTATAACAACTAAGTTTTCAGGTATGAATTGTTTTTATCAATTTGTAGAGGCAAATTAAAATGAAAATATTTACTTTTGACTTAGTTTTATGGTTTGTAAAAATTCAATGGGTCAAGAGTTTGTTGAAGTTGACATATTCCTGAGCTTTGGAAAATGAGTTGAGGCAAGAGCTCCCACTACTCAAAAGCTAAGTCTATCCCTAGTTTTAGGCTTGACTGAGTAAGACTGCAGTATCAATAAATGTGATCTCAATCAGTTGGAGTTGACACAAATATCACGTTAAATTTTACTTGTCAATTATTCTTCTATCCCCCTTTTTAGTGCTGCCTCATATTGTACTTTGATGATGAGAATTGTGAATTCTTGTGCTGCTTTAATTTAAAGTTGTGATTGATGCACATTAACTCTACCTCTGAAAAGCTTCTATATGGCTTTTAAACTGTCGCCAAACCATATGGCAGGGGAGTTAAACAATCCGAAACAGCAGCTGATATCAAGAAAGCATATCATAAAGCAGCCCTAAGGCATCACCCAGACAAGGTTTTTAGTTCATAATTCCAATTTAATACATGACTACATTCTTTGCTCTAATGTTGAGACCTTACCGGCAGAGTTTTATGTCTATACTTGTCCTTATTTCAATTTAGGCTGGTCAGTGTTTTGCAAGAAGTGAGAGTGGCAATGAGGGACTGCTCTGGAAAGAAATCGCAACAGAGGTTCATGAGAGTGCAGACCGTCTTTTCAAAATAATTGGAGAAGCATATGCAGTACTATCAGACCCCTCAAAGGTTTGTTTTCACCTATTTGAGGACTCTAATTAGAGAGCATGTGGGTGATCAGCATTTTGTTAGCAGTGTTAAAGTGGATTAAAGTCTTCTGAATTTACATAACCTAGGTGCTTACTCCATGTGTTAATATTGTTGTGTCTTGGTGGACACCACACTAGCTCTGTCACCTTTAGGGAGAATTTTTTGTTTGACCTTTTTACTTTTGAGTTTCCCTTTATACACTGACCAGAGTACTTGAAAAAGAAATAGAGAATGGTTTGCATTTGAGCAAAGAATTAAGAGATGCCCATATTAGACTGATCAGGGATCCATATGTATGTCTCATTTGTTATGATCAACTTGCAAACATGGATCCCTGATCTGTATGAGTATCGTTTTGAAATGATGACCTTTTTTGGCTGAACGAGTGATTGACCTTTTGCGAAAAGTCCAACGAGAGATGTCCACTGCTGCAGTTTATGGAGGGCTTTAACTGATTTTGAAATTAAATTATTCTTCTGTTACAAAATCAATCAATTTTATGATCTTTTTAAATTGGCTCGTTCTAATGAGCCATTTTATTAATTGTGGCAACTTCTTACTTTTTTGGGAATAACACTGGATAAGTACAGTGGCTTTACGATAAGGAAGTCTAAATTGAGCTTTATTTTAGTAAATATGTCAACTATTGTTACTTTTTGAAATGACGCTGCTAAGTATAGCGGTTTTATTCCAATAAAGAACGCCAAATTGAGCTTTTTGGTATTTGAATGGCGGGCTACATAGTTTGTAATCTTTAACAATTAACACCTTTTTGTTAAAGTCCTCCAATCCGGGGACATTGGCGGGATCTGAACATTATTTCTAACTTACAATATTTTCTTTTCCTCTTTATAGCGAGCAGAATATGATCTTGAAGAGGATATAAGAAAAGCCCACAAAGAGAGCAGTGGATACGGCAATTACAAGAGTGCCTCACATTTCCAAAGCTCTCCCTTCGAGAGAGGCTCCAGCAGGCGGAATTGGCAGGAGAGTTGGAAGACACATGGTTATTCACGCTCCCAATGGTAAGAAGCATTTACAGTTACTTTGGAAACTGCACGGGATATCCTCGAAAGCAGTCGACAAGAGCAATCATGCTCAAAGTTCCACCAAAGGTTGTTTGGAGAAAATGATGGAGGGGGTCAGGTCTGGAAACTATCGAGCTATGACTAAAGACGAACACATAGCAGAGATGGAACTCGCTGGTTTAAGATCGCCTGTTTCCTCTGCGGATACGGGAGATGTCCACCGTAAGGTACACGGGGCAGAACAAGCCGTTTGTCTTATGCCCCAGCAAAATATACCTGTTCAATCTTAGTTCTTTTCCTTCTATAATATTATAAAATCACTGCAGGAAACCAAGTACTCTGCAGTTTGTCGTATTTGCTTGGATGGCCAAGCTAGTGCAGGGTCTGGTAATTTTTTGGCTTCCAGCCTGCGTCATCTTCTTGCTTATAGGCAAGAAAGACCTGGTTTTGTAGTTTAGGAGTCCCGTATCGGGGGTATCTTTTGATTACTTGTACGCCATCATCCCCTTCGCGATCTACTTTTCTTATTTATAATCGAAAGTTGTTTGTCTTACAGGATTCTCTAGTATGCATTGTTCCATTCTTCAGTGTCTTTGAACCTCGCCTCGATGAAATTCTGCTCCCTTTTCTCGCGGTTTAGATAAATGGCCTCTTTGTCTATGGTTTCGTGGGCATATCACGGCCTTGGTTCGGATGTTTCGGTAAGAGGACTATTGTTCAGTGCAATCTCTAGGTGAACGGGCATATGTCTACAAGTAACGTGTCGGTGTTGATCTCTGTTTCCCTCTTTTCATTTGCTTTGCTATCATGGATCCACTCATTTTCTATCAACCTCCAAATTTGAAGTTCATCGAGAAATCGATCGACATGGATGATGGTGCATCTTCAAAAGCAGATCGTTCGCAGATCATTGTGTTCTTCTCTGAAAGAAAAAGAAAAAAGAAAGAAACAAAGAAACAAATCACCAAAGGCCCACCCCACCCCACCCCTCTTATCTCCACTCAAAAAAGGGACAATGGTCGAGCACTTTTCACTGTAGCGTGAAGACAATTCACTTTGATAGTACCGTGCGATGTACGGATTCTGACCACATCAAAAAGTATAATGATTTTATCGTTCGGCATTGTTATGGCATATACAAAAGAGAAATCGTGAAAATCGTTTCGAAAATTGAACAAAATAGAGATGACAAATCACCAAACATATCGAAACTTTTAATTTGTTGTTAACTTTATCATGGTAGATCATTTACCGATCCATCCATCTATTTAATTATTTTTATTATTATTACATCATAAAATTTAAACTGTGTGTCTATTATGCGTTTAGAAAAAATTAGAAGCTCGCTAATTTGCCAAAATACGGATATATTATTGTTAACACCAAAAAAATGGCCAACTTGTCGACATGGGAAACCCAGGACAAAGGCATGAATTACACGTTCCATCGTCCACGATCGTAAAAGGTGATATCCATTTTAGTGCAACAGTGATGGTTCAATAAAAATAACATTTGATTAAAGATGATCGACAAGTGTTTGTACCAAAGATCATCAAGTTGCCAACGTAAGGGAGATGTGACAGAGGCTTGAGGCGACATGGAAGCAAGGATCATCAAGGGACACATGACAGAGGCATGAGGCAACGTGGAAGCAAATATCGTATAAGTTGCCAACATAAGGGACACATGTCAGAAACATGTGTCCTGTGTATGACCCAAGATCATCAAGTTGACACGGAGGTGCATGATGGCGATCTATAGATATAGCAATCGATATCAATGTTAACACGTCAATAACAATTCGATCGTTGAAAAATGATGACGTAGGTTCAAAAATGATTGGGAAGAATACTAGTGGATATGATCGACAAAACCCGCGAAAATGCAGGCGAAAGATATCGAGGTGACGTCATGGCGCAATTACAAGCCTAAAGTCGTAGGAGGTTGAGTAATGTGAGTCATGAAGTGGCTGGCATGTGTATTTTAAGGGAACAATTACTTGACAAGGTGGATCATGAAGCGCTTATCACTTAGTGAATAAGATCACTGGGATGCTTACTGTGCTTGAAAGCAATGATCATAGGAAGAACACCAGTGCACAAAGTATAATGAAACCGCTAACGAACAATTACTACATGACCGTTACAAATATCACTAGTCATCAATCGTCGAAAACCGTTTCGCACAAATCAAAACAAAATAGTTATTTTTCAATTATCTTTAAAGCTTTCCTCACACGATACTTTCAATTTTCCCTAGTTGTAACTTGCATCATTCGCATCGATCGATTAAATTCCGGCCATGTATCTTTATAATCTCAGACGCGTTGTTAATTAATATTCCCGGCGTGGTATTTTGGTGCACTTTGACCCCGTCGTCGTTTAAGTTCCGGCAACGTTTATTTACATTTGTACCTGCTGTACTTTTTGGGCTTTGTTGTCGATTAAATTTTGATTCCATAATTTGCCTGGATACCTTATGTGCGGAATCGTCACGAACTCGGTCTCCTTCATTTAAAAAACCGAACAACTTTTGGTTAAAGATATTTCGTCGCGGAACCAATTTCGGCTCCCTCACTTAATTACAATCAAAGTAAATGATACTATTTATCACCTACGTGTCAAATTGAAAAAAAGGAAAAGAAAAAATAATCCACAATGCTATGAAGACCACAACATCAAAAAGTCAACGCTTCACATTGATCGTAACGTGAATTTATACATAGAGGTTTGCTACTTTTTGCAAATGTAAATACTTTTTACTTTGATAAAAAAAGTAACATTAAAATACATTTAATAAAGATTGAGTTTTAGAAAATAAATTTTAGGAAATATTCAAGAAGACGGACAATCTCTTTGTAATTATAATTTTTTTATGCAATAATTTTTTTAAATATTTTTCAGATAATTGTATTTAGTTAGATAGATAGCAGGAATAGTAATAGAATGAAGTATGGGAGTAGGATACAAAAAATTTAAATGGTGGAAAAATCATCTGAAGAGGCCACATCACTGGGTGAGCGGTCTAGGTTTCTTACGGGTTCATCTAGAATCTGAATCTATCTTCGTACGGGTTTCTCATTTTTAGAATCGAAACCTACCTTGTCACAAGTTTCAAGGAAGGTTCCAAGGTTTAACAGGTTTTTTTTTTAATTTCATTTTTAGTTAAACAAAATGAAAATGAACGCAATAATATTTAACAAGATTGTCATTCACTAAAGAGAATACAAAAGACTAATTTTCCTAGCATTACGGTTCAAATAAATACAATCACAATAAGAAGTCGTTGAGTGAATCGATACAAAATGTTATTTTTCAATTATCTTTAAAGCTTTCCCACACGATACTTTCAATTTTCATGAGAATAGTTCCTCATTTTTAAACCTAGAACCTACCCTATCATAGGTTCTAGGGTTTACCAGGTTCCACCGTATTATTAATTGACAATTGCGGTGAATTATCACATTTAATGATCCGGCTTCCCTCACTTAATTACAATCACAGTAAATGATACTATTTATCACCTACGTGTCAAATTGAAAAAAAGGAAAAGAAAAAATAATCCACAATGCTATGAAGACCACAACATCAAAAAGCCAACGCTTCACATTGATCGTAACGTGAATTTATACATAGAGATTTGCTACTTTTTGCAAATGTAAATACTTTTTACTTTGATAAAAAAAAGTAACATTAAAATACATTTTATAAAGATTGAGTTTTAGAAAATAAATTTTAGGAAATATTCAAGAAGACGGACAATCTCTTTGTAATTATAATTTTTTTATGCAATAATTTTTTTAAATATTTTTTCAGATAATTGTATTTAGTTAGATAGATAGCAGGAATAGTAATAGAATGAAGTATGGGAGTAGGATACAAAAAATTTAAATGGTGGAAAAATCACTGAAGAGGCCACATCACTAGGGGTGAGCGGTTCTAGGTTTCTTACAGGTTCATCTAGAATCTGGAATCTATCTTCAGGTACAGGTTTCTCATTTTTTAGAATCTGAAACCCTACCTTATCACAAGTTTCAAGGAAGGTTTCAAGGTTTAACAGGTTTTTTTTTTAATTTCATTTTTAATTAAACAAAATGAAAATGAACGCAGTAATATTTAACAAGCTTGTCATTCACTGAAGAGAATACAAAAGACTAATTTTCCTAGCATTACAGTTCAAATAAATACAATCACAATGAGAAGTCGTTGAGTGAATCGATACTAGGGGTGAGTAGTTTCATGTTCCGTACAAGTTTCCCCTGGAACCTGTAACCTACCCATGAGAATATGTTCCTCATTTTTTGAACCTAGAACCTACCCTATCATAGGTTCTAGGGTTTATCCAGGTTCCACCTGTATTATTAATTGACAATTGCAGTGAATTATCACATTTAATGATTACCACTTGTTATTATGATCTACTGACCATAACTTATATTTAGACACACAAAGAATAAGAAACATTAAAAATTCATAAAATGAAAACTCAGACTAGTGATTTCAGATTATACATTCATCATCTAACCCCACGAAATACTACAGGATCACGTGAAGACATAGACCAAGAAAAAGCACAAAAACTTATTTAGGTTTCAGGTTCCAATTCCCGATTCCAGGTTTCAAGTTCCATCTACTTAGAACCCGGACCTACCCGTCGAAATAGGTTCAAAAAGACGAAAATGCCCATGGACTAAATACATTGGGGTAAATGTGTCACAAAAAGCAAAGTTCGGGGTTTTTGGTGTCACAAAAAAAGTTTGGGGTAAATGTGTCACAAATGGTAAAGTTTGGGGGTTTTTGTGGTTTTTTCCTTTTTTTAAATATAATATTGAGCTTATTTTTCAAATTTAATTTAATTTAACTAATTTTTTATTAAAAAATAGATTTGTACCAAAACAACGTCATTTTATCCACGTTGTCGCCACGTAAGATAGAGAAAATTATAATAAAAAAAGCCACGTTAGCATTTTCAGTGAGCCAAATTGAAGAGAGTTAAATGAATGACTCAATTGAATCAATTTGACAAGTTTTAGGACTTGATTGCACTTTCTGCAAGTTTTAGGGCTCAATTGCGCTTTCGTAACAAGTTTTAGGACTTCCAGTGCACATATCCCTCAAAAGAATTAGACAGAAAGAAAGCAATTAAAAAGTGGAATTGGATCACACGAACTCCTCTTAAGCCAGTTTGATAACACAATTAAGTGCTGAAAATTAAAGGTTCAATACTTTTCCGTGAATCTTTGAGGATCTATTTGTGAGTACCGCATCGAATAATATGAATTCATGTAGGCCAATTTGTCAAAAAAATAATCCTATCCTTCTTACTAAAAATAATTACCGATATCTTGAATTGAGCGATTAATTTTCCAGTAAAATAATTTATAAGATCGTTAAACTAAAAATTGGAATTCTAAGTATATTTATCAAGACTACTTGTGCAAACTTACCACAGGCTTCACAAAACAAAACAAAAAGGAAAAGAAAAAAGAAACAAATCGGAAAAAAAAAATTGGGAGATGAGCCACGTCAACTACGTTCATTGTCACCTGCAAACAATTCATTTTAATATGTAGAAACTAGAAGGAATAATGATATAAATGGTTTCTAAATTTTGACTCAACGTACAATGTGATTCATGAGCTTATAATTTGTTTAATGTGCTCCCCAGACTTTGGTACATGTTCAATGTAGTCATTGAAATCGAATTAATGAAAGGATTACATTGAACATTTTTATATAGTTCAAGGACTAAATTGACATATACCAAAAGTTCATGATCGACATTAAATAAATTAAAAATTCAGGGACTATATTGCACGTTAGGTTAAAGTTTAGAGGCCATATTGAATAAATTAAAAGTTTAGGGACCACATTGCACGTTAGGCGAGAATTTAGAGACTATTGGTGTCATTTTCCCAAACTAGAATGTTACCCCCTGCGGAATAAAGGAATTGATTAGGCTCATAATAAATAGCTTAGCGGTCTCATTTCTATCATAAAATTTAAAAAAAAATTGTTAAAATTATTTTGAAATTGAAAAGGAAGATGACAAATCGCCAAAACTTATTATGGCTTTCAATTTTTATTCAATTTTATGATGGTAGATCATTTACTTGTCCATCCACTCATCCATCGTTCTGTCGATTTATTGTTTCTACTATAACTATCACAAATATTAAATTTGGTGTATATTATATGCTTAGAAAAAGACTTAGAAATTGACTATTTGAAGGCTCACGCTATTTCACCCATTTATTAGCTCCTGACACCCTTTTATGACATTGAATTAACTGCATCATCTTTTACGGGTCCCACTCTCAGATTTAATATTATTTCTTGCCTTTTTTCTTCGTTTTCTTTTATTTCAATTTTATTAAAAGAAAAACTACCCACATCCCTAACTTTTTTTCACTCTAGCCGCTTTTTCCACACCCATTACATTTTAACGTTGTCTTCATGTTTATCTTCTTCTAAACTTATTCCGCCAGTTATTAACTTTATTTCCCAGGCAATTCTTATGATCCTGAATTTTTTTTACTTCAATTTTCGATACAAATTTACGAGAATCTACTCAAAAATTGAATATGGTGATTGATGAATGAATTATACACAATTTACTCATCTTCCATTGTATTGTTTTTTGTAGTGTAGTTACTATGGAGGACAATATTAAAGAGCACCCAAATTGCTTAAATGTATATATTGATGATGAAACTGCGAACGGAGAATAACAATCAATCATGTTAACAAGTTTATTTATACCTTCTCACACTATAACATTGAAAATTGTTCCTTGATATATATTGTTTTAAGTGAATAATGACTCCATTATTGATTGGATTTCGTCTGATTCATGGAAAATATCTTTTTCGAGAGAGTAACCTTTTTTAGGAGAGTTAAGGAGCTGGATGGATAATGTCTTTTGTTAAGCTACATGTGCAACTTGTTATTATTGCAGTACATTTGCATTTCGAGGATAATTTTTTTTTCATTGATGATTCTATGAAAATTCCGATGCATTTAGAATTGACAAAAAATTGTGTTTGCAAATGGTTTGATTGGGATGTATTATAATGTTATTACAGTTGTCGTAATTTCTTGTCAACAGCTAATTATACCATGTTATCAAGGCAAAGATAGTATTATATGTAATAATGTTTTAGGGACAATTTTCTTTTGCATTTGCATGATGATAATGGATGTATAATTTTTTTATATATTTAACTTTGTCATATTTTTAACATCATGCAATGATGGCATGAAAAATATTAAAAATTGGACTATTAGATTCACTTAATAGAATGAAAGTAGAGAAGTTAAAATACACAAACTATAATGTAATGACACATATTAAAGTTATAATTAAACGAAATGCATACTAAAACTACTAGATAGTTCTTTTTACTCTTACTCATCCTTTGATTATTTTTTAAATAATAGTTTCCTAGTTCAAAAGACAATATACAGCTCATAAAATAATAATTAGATAGATATCTACTAAATGAACTATTTTTGGAAATTAGGGACACCAATTTTGATGTCAATGGAGAAAGAAAAGGAAAAAAAAACCGAAAAGAAGAAAAGAAGGCAAGAAATAATCTTAAATCAATAGTGGGCCCCTCATTTAACCTTTATAAATGTTGTTTGAGAAGAGCAAAAAATAGAAACAAAATAAAAAGAAGAAAATAAAATGTAAGAAATCATCTTAAATAAGGAATGAAACTCGTAAGAGATAATATAGTCAATTCGATGTGATGGGGCGTTAGGAGCCAAAAGTGGTAGAAATAGCGCGAGCCTACTTATATTGTGAAAGTATTCATGATGAAAATTGAATAATTTTTTTCGTATCACGACTAGTTGGTCCCTCATTTAAATGTAAATTCGATAAATGATAATGTCTATTATGTACACATCAACTTGTTAGTAAGATTCCTCGTAAAACTGAGTATTATTAGTAAATATATATAATGCAATCATATCTGATAATGACAGACATCAGCTCGCTCAGCAATCTCTTTGATTGGAGCAAAGCACAAAGAACATGGCGATGGGCATCCTCTCAACCCGCAGCAGCTTCGTCTTCTTCGCTCTGGTTTTTGTTGCTCTTCACGGTCTTCTGCTCACTCTCTCCAATGCTGAATCTGAAGTTGGTATATGGTCTCTCTCACACTCTGTGTTCAATGTTAGAGTCTCACGTACGAAACGAGTTTACAAATTTTTTGGGGTGGAAATCTATTGCATTGAGGGTGTGCGAGCGTCGTGCTCTGTCATTTGAAGCTTCTTCTTGATCTGGTGCACACACTGAACACGACGCGCTCTCTGTTGTGCTATTGCTGCCGGTTACCGTGGACAAATCTCCATTTTTTTCGTCAAGTCTCAAGCTCTTGCTCTGCATGACTTCATCTCGGTTGTGTTACGTGTTGAAGGGGGTCCACTTGGACCTCAGCAACCATACCCATCATAAATCTCTTTCAAACCCGCCATGGAAAAAAGAAAATGGAAATACGCAAAAAACATTTCATCTTGTAATCAATGAGAAGTATATTGAGATCTCTACGAAGAATCTTCACTATGGTGTTGGCATGTCACAGGTTATACAGAAATTCCCCTGAAAATGGCATACCATATACATCTCCAGATAAGTGGGCAATTCATCATGTGAATGAGTTTTCAAAAAGATTCAGTAAAAACATATTCTGTAAACATAAAAATTTGAAAAATAAATGTCATTCTAGCTCCACCTATTTTTCTAATGCCATTTTCTCTGTTGTCTCTCGTGCTTTTCGTTTGACCCATGCAATTCTTCCTTAACACACCTCCGGCTGTCTGTGGAGGATTGAGCCAACGGTTTTGATCTTGGCATTCGTGATTCAAAATCTTTGTTGTCGTTTAGATCTCTGACACTTGCTGTGAAACTGGATCGAATGATGAACGGCTCGTTCAGCTTCACACAAATAGCCATAAAACATTGACTTTGAGACTCTCAACGACGTGCTTTAACAGTTGATATAGCAGCAATTAGCATTACATGTCCGGTTTCTGTGTAGTATTACTAGGAATAAAGAAAAGTTTATGGTTCCTTTCTTGGGTGACGTTGTAATCTGGGACATCATTTTCGCTTGGCTCGACATCTTAGAATTTGCATCTTGCAGTTGTCTGCTTTCATAAGTAAATCTTGCTTTTCCCTGTTCCTGTCTGTGTTCTTTGAGCATGCTGTTCTGTTCCCAGATCCAATTTCAGCCAAAATGTTTCCTCAGTAACATTGAGAACAAGAAAATAACATATTATAAATGCAAAGTGAAGCCTTATTGGTAAGGATTTGACACCAAACTCAGCCTCGAGAAGCATGGCTCTGTGTGTGCAAGGTCTCGACAAAGGCAAATCTTTTGGCCCCGACAATATCTGACTACAGTGGACCTGAGAGACTGCCATGACCCAATGCAATTAGATGTGATTAGTCAAGCTCATCATGTGTGGAGCTCCTTATCCTACGTAACTTGGGGTCTTTAGGCACATGCCTGTTTTCCTTCATGTAGGAGTTAAGTCCTTGGATCATGCTTCATCACAAAAAAATGAGGCATTTTTGTTCGTGGATCATATGAATTAGATCCTTTATTACATGTTAGCAGTCTGCGAAATTGATTTGCCTGACTCTCCTATTCCGTGCACGCTATTAATATGTGTCCGGAAATTACGTTTTTGTGGTGCCTTTTACTTTGTGAGTTGGATTTTAGAGACATTAGACCAAAATGTCAGATAATAGAATCAGCTTTTATGCTTTACGAGCTGTGTTACCCGATTGGTGAATTGTGCTTCTGTCAACTTCTTCGCTAATATCTTTTATTTTCCTTTCCTCTACTCTTTTTGGGGGGATTGGGGCTGGCCCGGGACAGATGATGAGTCTCATTTCAGTTATATCGAAGGAACCGGAAAAGGGCCGAAAAAATGGGGCCTGATCGACCCGCATTGGCGAGCATGTGGCACCGGGAAATTGCAGTCTCCGATCGATCTGCTCAATGAGAGAGTGCAAGTCTTTTTGAATCTGGGGAAGTTGAAGAGAGACTATAAACCAGCTCCTGCCATTGTGAAGAACAGGGGACATGATATCACAGTAAGAGCTACTTGTTGCCTTTGTTATTCTTTGAAGTGGTGTCATGCACAGCTAAACTTGAAAAAACCCAATTTTTAGTGATGGTACGACTGTCCGCTCGTGTAACCAAGCCCGGGCGCCTAGTCGCCGTGCTGAAGGAAGTGCCAATGATTCGAGAATTCCTTTTTTCAGTGGAAGCACAAACCACAAAGATATTCGAATCTTTAAGGCTAATGTTACAGATTATTATCCCCGAGCAATTCATATTCCCTGATATCCGACAGTGGCATCTGCCTTTCCATCTATTAACCTCCTCCAAAGAAAAGAATTCTCGACCAACTACGTACTCGATATTTTTCAATAATGAACTGTTATCACATTTGTTTTTACTAATGACTCTTCAACCAGGTAATGTGGAAAGGAGATGCAGGGAAGATCAACATTAACGGGACTTACTACAAACTTCAGCAGTGTCATTGGCATTCCCCCTCTGAGCACACGTTTAACGGATCAAGGTACGAAGGCTTTGTCTCTGTTGTTTGTACATGATGCGATTTCCTCATGAAGTAAAGCGCGGTGACAGCGTGCACTTTTCACTGGATTTCTTTTTCTACGGTATACACAAATTACGCTAAACAAGATGGTATTTTTCCCCTTAGTACTGGTGAGCGATGTCAAAATTCATTCTGCAGATATGACTTGGAGCTTCACGCCGTCCATTTAAGCTCTCACGGAGAAGTAGCTGTGATTGCGATTGTCTACAAGTATGGTCGACCCGACCCTCTCCTCACAAAGGTGCAAAGGCCGCTTTATCTCGCTCTCCTTACCGCCACATACACATTTATAAGTGCAGCCACCGTATTGTTATCATACTTGCTCATAGGTTATGTGAATGCTTTGAACTCAGCCATAGTATGCAAAGTTGAGCTTGTACATGTGCACGTTCATGAATCACTGATGCAATGCATCATCTGTCTGATATTTTTTAGCAATTTGCTTCCCCTTCTTTGCTCATATGGAACCTGAAGATCCCGTCTAATATAGAATGGACCGCGTGGTCTCTGCCTTATGTCTATTTGTCCTTCTGATTTTGCTTCGCCGTTTCAATCTGTTGGCAGATACTCGAACACATAAAAGTAGTCAGGAAGGAAGACATAGACTTGGGGGTCATAAATCCAGGGATCATCAAATTCGGCAGCAGGAAATACTTCAGATACATCGGCTCTCTCACAGTCCCTCCCTGCACCGAGGGCGTGGTGTGGACCATAGTCAATAAGGTAATATATACTGCGTCTTCCATGACAATTCTCGACATACATGGTCGTATGGCGCATGGATGATCTTAAGACATGCTGTTTTGTGAACTTCGATTAGGTGCGGACAGTCTCGAGCGAGCAAGTACGAGCACTGAGAGAAGCTGTTCATGATGTAAGTGCTCTCTAAAAAGAAGGGTGTTACGTTTTGATTTGCTTGCCACTGGACAGGGGGACCTTTTACAGAGAAGAAACGTGAGCTATACGTGCATCTAGGTCCTCTATAAAGACTTTAGTGATTTCTTTGTTTGATAACAAGTGATACTTATTCTCTTCATATATGCATAAACACGTACACGACACAAAGTCCCGTGATCGAAAACAGAGTCCTCCTTCGTGTGACTGATTAGATTCATCTTTCATCTTTCTTGCCTTGTTTGATGCTTGTCCATTTGGATAGGGATATGAAGCCAATTCAAGGCCGACTCAGCGATCAGAAGGAAGAGCCGTCGGGCTATACACTCCAAGAAACGATCGAGGTGCTGCTTAGGCCAAAGCCAGAATTTGAACTAATAAATGTTTTCTGAGCTTCGAGACTGTCTTTTATTACCTCACCACTTGGAAACATTTGCAATTCAAACAAATTATTTGATTTTGATTAGCAACATCACACCACTCGTTCGACACAACTCACAACATGTTAAGCACTAAAAATCATTCTGATAAGTAGATACCGAGACCAGGTGGGGATGAACAAAAGCTCAAGTCAAGCTTCGAGTATCGAGTAGTATACAAGTCGGGTCTAGCTCGAACTTGGCACCGTATTGCCTCAACTCGATTATGCGATGGTCCCCTTTTACCTATTATTCGTGGATAGTATACCTCTCAAAGTTAGAAGAAACAAGGAATCGCTCAATTTCATTTTTCAGAATGACACAATTTCAATATATATTTCTGTTGACCAGCTATCATGCAAAGCAAATCCTTTTCGAATAGATTTTTATCCTTACTCTACTCTATTTAGTATCTCATCAAAGTTGAATGTTTTTTTTAAGCCCATTCGAATAAGTTTTATTTTATCAAAAGATTTCCCTTTATTTTTTTTGTTCACTACTTTATATATGTATTCGTAATAAATATAAAAAAAAAAGGTTATGATAAACCTGGAAAAAAATGTAAACTAAGGATAGTAATTTTTGACGAACGGGATCAAAACCGTTTTTATGTAGACACAAGAATGAAATGCAGAAAATTCCTTTCTTGTGTCAAAGAAAAGACTAAGAAGGAGAAGGCGAATAATCCTTTGTTTCATATTCTACACTAACTTATCTTACGTTTAGTATCCATTGAAATTTTAGATTTTATTCGATTAAAATAGAAAACGTTTGATCCATTCTATGACATTTTAAATCTCACTAGAGTGAACTAGTGACACCGCTCGAATTTGGCTTGAAAAAAAGAAAAAGGATAAAATAAAAGAATCTTATTCACAATATACATACTATGACTAAGGAATGCAGTACAAATAATTCTCGATATCGACATCTAGAATAGAAACAAGCAAAAGTAGCTAAGTCCATTATGACTAATCTGACCAACAAGGAGGCGGATTAGGAGTTATCAAATACATTGAATGATGTACTTAGATTATGCGTCAACATATATTCTAAGTCTTGTCACTTGACAAAGCTACCTCAATGATTGGAAAATTGTCCAAAAAGTCATAAAATTATTATACTCTTGTCAATTCAGTCATTAACCTTTTAATTGTACCAATTAAGTTCTAAACAATTCTACGTTTTACCAATTGAGTCAATCCGGGCAATTTTGATCGAAAATCACTAACGTGGACGTTGACCGTTCTACGCGGCATGGCTAGCGCTGATGCTGATAAATTTTTTAATATCATAACATTTTTTTCGAATTTTTTAATTAATTTTTTAATTTTTCTTTTCTTGTCTTTTCCTTATTTACTTTTTTTTATCTTTCTTTCTTTATTTTTCTGTTTCTCTTCTCACCTGAGGTCGGTAGAGGGAAAAAAAGAAAATAAAAAAAGAAGAGAAGAGAAAAGGAATTAAAGAAAAAAGTAAAGAAGGAAAAAAGAAGAAAATTAAAAATTAAAAAATATCATTAAAATTGTCAACGTCAGCGTTTCTATGTTACGTAGGACGGACGACGTCTATACCAGCGATTTTTCAGCTAAAATTGGCCTAATGGATTCAATTGGCAAAATGCAAAAAAGTTTAAGGACTCAAATTGGCACAATTAAAAAGGTTTAGAACTCGTTTGACAAAAATACAATAGGTTTAAGACTTTCGGAACAATTTTCTCGTCAATAATGTACGTATTGAGATATTTCTTTTCATATCATAACCATGCCCTCCCTCACTTAAGTATAACCGCGGTGCACGATACTATTTACCACTTACGTGCCAAACTAGAAAGAGGAAAAGAAAACTCAATCCACAATGCTGTGAAGGCCGCATCATCAAAACGCCAATGCTTCGTAGAAGAAGAGAGCACTTCCAACAATCTCTCTCATCTTTTACTGTCTAAATTTCTAAAAACTGCCTGATCCTCAAAATGTTATTTACCTAAAGAGTTAATACAACGGAATATCCCCAACTAGTAAGCCTTTGATAAATTTACTCCAAACTAGTACACCTGTGACAAATTTACTATCCATTAGTTTTCTTTAAATTTTACCGTCAAATTGCTGAGATTGAAGACATGTGATAATTGACGAGTGTACCAATTAGGGTTTTACCCCTCTGTTTGTCACGGGTTTACCAATTTGTGATTTTTCGTGGTACTAATCCAATTTAACATATGGTAAAATTGTCACATGTATACCAGTTTGCAGTTTTTTGTGATAAAAAAATTAGTTTGTTTTCCGTGGTATTAACCTTCCGAGGATTGCGTTGTTTTACCTCGCCATTTGTGATTTTCGCGATACTAATCCACGATTTGGGAGTTGAATAAAATTGTTACATGATTCTCGTGCGCGGGTTTTGGTAAAAAACCCGGTTAGTTTGTTTTCCGTGGTCATTAAAAAAAAAAAAAAATCTTCGGAGGATTGCTTTTGACTTGTTTTGCCACTTTTGGACTGTAAGACAGGATCTTTATCGTCTTTTTTTTTCACCAAATAAAAAATGAGGGCAAGTATTATCCAAAAAGAAATCGTGTACTATGCGAAGTGAACCCAATGTACCGAACACGTATCTGTGAAAATGTGTGGAATTGAAACTCAAACACCAGAAGATTTTCAGTGAAATGAAAATTGGAAAGATCCTGTCAATCACAGCTGCACAGTAACTTGTTAATATTCTGTGTTTAGAGGATGATTCTTAGGAGGGTTTTTTGTTGTCTTGTTTTGATTCTTGCTTTGGAAGATGATTTGTGCTTAGTTATAACTTGTTACCTTTTATTGTATCGGCCAACTTTCAAGTGATTGAAGCATCGGATATTAGATCTCCTAGATAGGCATCGTCCTAAGGTACCTTTTGGTAGACCGCTCCGATGTCCTTTACAAGGTTGTCGGCACCGCCGGCGCCATCATGAGCGGGCTCTCACGGCCTGACCCTCATATTGGGCAACATAATCCGTTCTTTCGGCTCCACCAACCGTGATTATGTTGTTAGGGAAGTCTCAAAGTTATATGCATGTTGCGTTTAGCTCTTTTCAATTGTGATCGGCTGCAATCTAAATTGGATCCATGAACCCAACATCAATCCACATTGTAAAGTAAGAGATGCATGGGCTCATTGGTCGGCAAAGATTTGGTCGGTTGATCAGTTCGGGACCTTATTTGAGACTGAATTGGCAATTTCAAGGCTTTAGTTTAGACAAGTTCCGCTTTGGATCATCTTTTGAGAAGACGGCTTCATTTCATACCCTTATTTGAAATTTCCCCTAAAAGAGTTGATTGAGCTCATAAAAATAGCTTAACCGTCTAATTGTTATCGTGAAATATAAAAAAGAAATCGTTAAAATTATTTTGGAGTTGAAAAGGAGATGATAAATCACCTAAATTTATTTTCATTTTTTATTCAATTTTATGACGGTAGATCATTTAGTTATTCATCCATTCATCCATCTATCAATCCATCTATCATTATTACTACAACTATCACGAAAGTCAAATTTGTTGTATATTACAAGTTTAGAAAAAGGCTTAGAATTCTAATACTTAAATTGTCAAAATACCCATAACGAAAATCAAATATTTTTTAATACTTCGGTCCTCAATTAGATGCAGTCGCAATAAATGATAATATTTACTATCTCAGCATCAACTTGAAAAAAGGAAAACAAATAGGAACAATCCACAATGCTAGAAGATGATATCATCCAAATATCAATGCCTTACATCGCACTACTAATTTATATATTATATTAATAAATGCTTAAATGGTAATTTTGATATGATAAAAAAGTAAGAATAAAATAAATTAAGCAAAGAGTGAAACTTAAAACAAAAGTAATTCAAAAATATTCAAGAAGAAACGCGATATTCTTGTAATTAAAATTGATTTTATGTAATAAATTCGTTTTGTTTTAATACATTTTCAAATACGGTACAATTTTTTTTTGGTCGAAAAAATATGGTACTTAAATCCTTTATCGGTTTGCTACGGAACGTTTATCCTCTCTGGTCCTCATCTTCTTACGGTAATAAAAAGACACGAGTTCGACTTATATGAATGGATTACTTTCTAAATATCGATTGCACTTAATATACAAATAATTAAATACATTGATAATCATAGAATTTTCCTTATTGCCGCTTGCAGCTGTACTTGCTTAACAAAATTCTTAATAAAAATGAGCATTATAAATCAGATATCTAATGCAAATATTTTTAAGGCATATAAGGCCTGTCACTCTCAGCACTCTCTTTGATCTCCTTGACTGCACTTGTATCCTGTGTGTGTGACAGGAGCAAAGCACAAAGAACAGGAAAATGGGCGTCCCCTCAATCCGCAGCAGCTTCTTCGTCTTCTTCGCGCTGGTTTTTGTTGCTCTTCACGGCCTTCTTGTCACTCTCTCAGCTGCTTCTGAATCTGAAGTTGGTATGGTCTCTCAGCTCTTTCTCTCTCTCCCCATCTGTGTTCAATGTCAGAGTCTACTGTCGTCTTGGTTCAAGATTCTGCATTGAGGGTGTGCGAGCGTCGTGCTTTGTCATTTGAAGCTTCTTCTTTGATCTGGTGCGCACACCATCTATGTTGTGTTATTGCTGCTGGTTACTGTGGACATATCTCCATTTTTTTTCCTCGAGTCTCAAGCTCTTGCTCTGCATGACTTCATCTCGGTTGTGTTCCGTGTTGAAGCGGATCAACTTTGGACCTCAGCAACCATCATAAATCTCTTTCGAACCCTGCCAGGGAAAAAGGAAAATGGAAATGCGCAAAGAGATTTCATCTTGAAATCAATGAGAAGAAGATTGAGATCTCTGTGAAGGCTCTTCAGTATAGTGTTGGCCTGTCACAGGTCATACTGAAATTCCCCAGTACAAAAGCTGAAAATGGCATGCCACATACATCTCCAGATAAGTGGGAAATTCATCATGTGAATGAGTTTTCAGAAACATTCAGTAAAAACATAATCTGCAAACATAAGAATTTGAAAAATAAGTGTAAATCCAGCTCCACCTTCTTCTTTTTTTAATTTTTTTATGCCATTTTCTCTGTTGTCCCTCGTGCCTTTCGTTTGCCTCATGCTCTTCTTCCGTAACACGCCTGCGACTGTCTGGGGAGGATCGAGCCAACGATGTTGTTCTTGGCATCCGTGATTCAAAATCTTTGTTTATGTTTAGATCTCTGTCACTTGCTTTGAAACTGGTTGGAACGATGAACAGATCGTTCAGCTTCATCGAAATAGCCATAAACTATTGACCTTGAGACTCTCAACCACGAGATTCCACAGTTGGTGTAGCTGCATTTGAAATTTCATGTCTGGTTCTGTGTAGTACTGCTAGGAATAAAGAAAAGGTCAGGGTTCTTTTCTTGGGAGACGTGATGGGACATCATTTTCGCTTGGCACGACATCTTAGCATGCGCATCTTGCTGTTGTCTGCTTTCAAAAGTAATTCTTGCTGTTCCATGTTCCTGTCGGCCTAATTTCCCCTCCCCGAATTTTTTCTTTGCCTAAAAAAAATTATCAAGTTTCACCCTTGGTCACTCATCTCTTCAAAATTACCAATTAACATTAGGAAGCTGCTGTTATTTCATACGAAAGTTAGGATATTGGTGAAAACGCATATTCTGATCTCTAACCGGCTCTGATATTGATAATTTCAAAAAAAATAATGGTAATTTGTACACGTGAGGGCAAATATGAGACTATAGCAAAAGTTTGTGATTTTCTTTTAGACCAAAGAAAAATTAGGATCAGAATTGAGATTCGACCTAAAATTGGGGGTTTTGTACGCAACAAAGAAAAGAGAGCAAACTCTCTCTGTCTCTCTTTCTCCCCCGGAATGGTTTATGTAGGCATATTCATGCCTGTTCTCCAACGTGACATTACAACTTTTCTTCATGTAGATGTGAAGTACTTGGATCGTGCTTCGTCACCGAAAATTGAGGCATTCTTGTTTTTGGATCATATGAATTGCATCCTTCGTTACAATTTAGCACCTTCTTTGCTAATATCTTTTCTTTTCTTTTCCTTTCCTCTACTTTTTTTTTGGGGGTGGGGCTGGCCTGGACAGCTGATGAGACTCCGTTCACTTACATCGAAGGAACCGGAAAAGGGCCGAAAGAATGGGGCCGGATCGATCCGCGTTGGCGAGAATGTGGCACCGGGAAATTGCAGTCTCCGATCGATCTGCTCGATGAGAGAGTGCAAGTCTTTCCGAATTTGGGGAAGTTGAAGAGAGACTATAAACCGGCTCCTGCCACAGTGAGGAACAGGGGACATGATATCACTGTAAGAGCCACCCATTTACCTTTTCAATTCTTTGACGTGTTGTCGTGCACAACTAAAGCTGAGAACAATTCGACGTTCACCGACGGTATGACTGTCCCGCTCGTGAAATCAAGCCCGGGCGCTCGGTCGCCGTGGTGGAGGAAGAGCCAGTGATTCGAGAAATTCCTTTTTTTTCCGGCGGAAGTAGTACTAACCACAAAGATATTCGAACCTTCAAGGCTGATTTTACAGATTATTATTATCCATGAGCAATTCAGGTTCCCTGATTGATAGTCGACAGTGTGGCATCTGCCTTTCCATGGATTAACCTCTGCTTAAGAAACGAATTCTAAACCAACTGCGTACTCGGACAATTTTTCAATAGTAGAACTGATCTACCGTTTGTTTTTACCAATGACTCTTCAACCAGGTAATGTGGAAAGGAGATGCGGGGAAGATCAACATAAACGGGACGTACTACAAACTTCTGCAGTGTCACTGGCATTCGCCATCCGAGCACACATTCAACGGATCGAGGTACAGAGGATTTGTCTCTGTTGTTTGCACAGGATACGTCTTCCTCGCGAAGTAATGGGATGCGCGCACTTTTCGCTAGATTTCTTTCTCTGCAGTATGCACATATTATACTAAACAAGACAGTTTTTTCCCCCTCAGTACTGATGAGCGATGTCGAAATTCATTCTGCAGATACGACTTGGAGCTTCACGTCATCCATTTAAGCTCTCACGGAGAAATAGCCGTTATCGGGATCGTCTACACGTATGGCCGACCTGACCCTTTCCTCACAAAGGTGCAAAGGCCGCTTTATCTCGCTCTCCTTACCGCCCCGTGTGCACTTATACGTGCAGCCGCCGCATCGGTTATCGTACTTGCTCATAGGTTATGCGAATGCTTTGAACTCGACCAAAAAAGCAAAGTCGAGCTTGTGCGCGCGCATTTTCGTGCTCATTGCTGCAAATGCATCATCTGTCTGATTATTTATCCAATTTGCTTCCCCTACTTTGCCTAATAGAATGGCCTCTGACTTGTGATTTCGTTTCGCCCTTTTAATCTCTTGGCAGCTTCTCGAACACATCAGAGCAGTCGGGAAGAAGGGAGTAGTTGGGAAGAAAGAAAGAGACTTGGGGGTCATCAATCCAGGGATCATCAAATTCGGCAGCCGGAAATACTTCAGATACATCGGTTCCCTCACGGTCCCTCCGTGCACCGAGGGCATCGTGTGGACCATTGTCGGGAAGGTAATATACCGCGTTTTCCACGACAATTCTCAACGTACATGGTCGCATGGTCCATGGATGATCTTAAGACATGCTGTTTTGTGAACTTTGACTATAGGTGAGGACAGTCTCGAGGGAGCAAGTAAGAGCTCTGAGAGAAGCTGTTCATGATGTAAGTGCTCTACATATTTACGGGAAAATTACCAAAAAAGTCATAAACCTTTTGTAGTTGTGCCAATTCAGTCCTAAACCTTTTTTTTTTGCCAATTCAGTCCTAAACCTTTTGCAATTTAGCCAATTCAGTCCTTTTGCGGCGGCGGAGGCGCGTGGGCGCCGGACGTGATGTGGCAATATTTTAATATTTTTTGAATTTTTTTTCCTTTCTCTTTTTTTTTTTCTTTTCCTTCTTCCCCGGCCCGGTCCGGCCGGGCTCGCCGGCGAGGTCCACCGGGAGGTTTGCCGTCGCCGGCAAGGCGAGGCGACCTCGTCCAACCTCGCCACGGCTGTGCGACGGCGAGGGCGGAGCTCGCCATGGCTGGGTGAGCTCTACCCTCGCCGCCGCCGGGCGAGCTCTCGCCGCCCAGGCCGCCTGGCGCCATGGCGAGCTCCGCCCTCGCCGGTCCTTGCCGGCTTGCGACAAGGGCGAGCCTCGCCGTCGCACAGCCACGGCGAGGCTCGACCTCGCCAGATCTGGGCGAGGTCGAGCTCGCCCGGCCATGGCGAGCGGTCGGCGAGGGCGACCTCGCCCAAATCTGGCGAGGTCGAGCTCGCCCGGCCATGGCGAGCGGCCGGCGAGGCGACCTCGCCCAAATCCGGCGAGGTCGAGCCTCACCGTGGCCGTGCGACGGCGAGGCTCGCCCTCATCGACACGGCGTGCGACGGCGAGGCTCGCCCTCCATCGGCCGGGCGAGGCCGCCGGCGGAGCTCGCCATGGCCGGGCGACGCCGAGCTCGCCCTGCGGACGGCGAGGGCGAGCTCGCCTGCCCATGGCGAGCTCCGCCCTCGCCATTGCACGCCCGTGGCGAGGATGGGCGAGGTCGCCTCGCCTTGCCCGGCGACGGCAAGCCTCCCCAGTGGACCTCGCCGGCGAGCTTCCCCCTGGCCGGACTGGCCAGGGGGAAGAAGGAAAAGAAAAAAAAAAAGAGAAAGGAAAAAAAAAATTCGAAAAAAATATTAAAATATTGCCACATCACCGGCCGGCGTCCACATCAGCACCGGCCAACGCCGGCCGGCCAAAAGGACTGAATTGGCTGAATTGCAAAAAGTTTAGAACTGAATTGGCCAAAAAAAAGGTTTAGGACTGAATTGACACAACTGCAAAAGGTTTAAGACTTTCTTGGTAATTTTCCCCATATTTACAGTCCAAACATACTAGATTTGCACATTCAGCAACTGATTAAGATGCACAAACATGCACACGACGTAAAGTACCGTGATAAAAGACAGAGTCCTCCCTCGATAAAAAAACAGAGCCCTCCCTCGTGCGACTGATTATATTCATCTTCTTTCTATCTTTTTTGCATAATTCAATGCTTTGTCCATTTGGATAGGGATATGAATCCAATGCAAGACCGACTCAGCAACTGGATGGAAGAGCCGTCTGGCTATACACTCCAAGAGTTGACGGAGGTGCTGCTTAGGTCAGACTTACGTCGAGCCAGCAGTTGTGAGAGATTGCTTTCGACACAATAAATCGCAGTCTCAATCTCAAGCTGCTCAAGCACCGGCCAGATCGTTCATCCGTGCAGTTTCAGAGCTCTTATTAGTATTTTCTCAGCTTCCAAACTGTCTTTTAGCTCCTCACAACTTTTAACTATTTACAGTCCAAACATACTATTTCATTTCAATAAGCAAATATCACACCACTCGTTTGACACAAAAATCATTCTGATAAATAAATACAGAGATAACAACAAGCTGTGCCGTCAGGAAGGGAAAAAAAAAAAAAGTGCGATCTAACCGAGCTTGACATCTGAAATCAGCTCCCACGCTAGGCGATGAGGAAAGGAAGAACTGCCAACATAAAGGCCTCATAAGTGAAGGTTGCTGAGCCAGAGTACGCGGTATCCTTTTCCTTAAATTTTTCAGTCAGTCCCTGCAATACGAAATACCGATTCAGGCATAAATTCCGGCGGACTGAGTACAAAAAATATAAGATCGAGTACAAGATCTCACCTTGACAGTAAGGCAGCATCTGCAAGAAATAAGTACAAAAGGTAATGTGATTAGAGACCATCATGACCATTGGCAAGCACGAAAAACTTTCAATGGCTGAAAATTTTTAGAAATTAAAGACAGGACGGGAAAACATACTCGATGAAGTTATCGTATTCGATGGCTTTGTTCCTCCCGCCAGTTTTGTCAAACTTAGACAATAGCAAATCCAAAACCACGGGCGACACAGAAAATCCTAGACTGAGCAGTGCTTCCCTCAACTCATTGGCATCGATCCTGCCACTCCTGTCCCGGTCAAACCTCTCGAATATCGCCTGAATCAATTTCCAGAAAGTACGCATCACCGATCAAAATATGGTTGCAAAATGAATGTTCTCCGGGGATAACAATAGGTTCCAGATTCCACTTACCCTCCAGCTCTGAAGACTGTAAAACACCTGAACAAATTCCTTGGGTCCTGCAACAGGGACAGTTCACACATAAATCTCAATTCTAAGGAGGGAGAAAACACAGCCAATGCTCCGAGGTTGCATATTCTTGTCATAATTTTTATGGGGGGAATGATTCTTGCATCGAGTCAACCAACAAATTATACAGAAATGAGACAATGCAGGTAAGGTAAAATGACTGTTCTTAACCAGTTCATGCGCCCCCCGTTAAAACAATGAATCGGGTTCCACTCAGAATGAGAAAAAAATCGGCAAAAGGATGTCGTCACGACCGAAGAAACACCGACGAAAAGCTATTGCAAACGCTGCCCCACCACGTGCACGTTTTGACCAATGAATGCGATGCGATGAAGAATTGGGCAAAAAGACAGAAGAAATAGATTGATTAAGCCACAGTCATCATCTTCATCGTCAAGATCTGGACCTCTCCCACCTAACCCACTTTTCCAGAAAAATGAATACGGGCCTTCCCCCAAATCATCACCTAATCCACTCAGATCAGGAGAGCTTAGCTCAACCCAGCATCATCATCATCCCCAACTTCACCACCATCTGTTTGCAGCATCTCGCCTCGCGGATTAACCGAAAAAGTTCATAGCACAAGGCTTCAAAGAATTCCTAAAACAGAACTGGGTATGAAGTTCGAAGTCACCCGTCACTGCAAATTCTAAACCAACACTAGAGACACCGCCATTACAGATCTTACGCAACTTCACTCGAGACTTCGGGGAGTAGAGCATGCAAGATAGTTGCGCCTCACCGCGCGGTCAACCGCTTGACCCTGACGAAAATCGGTAACGCTGCAGCCACAAGCGACGACGATGTTTCTAGGCTGATCGCCGCATGATCCCCCGGCGGCGGCGGCGGCGGCGGAAGCGATCGCGGAGAATAGTAGGAGCTAAAGAGGACTCACCGATCTTCCTCGTGTTGGTGCTCGTGAAGAGGTACATGAGGAGATGCACCGTCCTCAGGCTGAACCCCTGGTTGTACGAGGACAGCGCGCTCTGCAGCTCCCTGTCGTCGATGAGCCCGCTCCCGTCCTGGTCCGCCATCTGGAAGCACGCCACCACGCTCGGATCCGTCCCCGGCGGGAACTGCGACGGCACCAGCGCCGCGAACGGGCTCCCGTACGCCCCCGACGGCGGCGGCGGGGCGGGATACCCGCCCGGAGCAGCAGAATACCCGCCGTGGGCCGGGTACCCGCCGGGAGCCGACGCCGCCGGGTACCCGGCCGGGGCCGACGGCGGGGGAGCTCCGTAGCCGCCCTGCGGCTTGTCCTTGGGGGGCTTCCCACCCTGGTGGGGCGGCGGCGCGTAGGGCGCGGAGGGGGCGGCGTACGGGGAAGCCACCTGCGAGCCGTACGGGGAGCTGGACGGGGGTGGGGCGCCGTAGGCGGAGGAGGAGGATGTGGTGGTGGCGGTGGCGGTGGCGGTGGCGGGGTAGGGTTGGCCGTAGCCGTAGTTCGGCGGCGCGTGGGGGTAGCCCGACATTTTCAGGAGGAGGGAAGCGCGAGAGAGGATTTTTTTTCCCTTTTTTTTTTTTTTTGTCGAACTTCTTCTTCTTCTTCTTCTTTTTTTTTGGGGGGGGCAGGTATTGACGCGCGTATATAATAGAGGTGGAAGGGCCCCCCGCGTTTTGAGTTTTGGGGGTCGGGAGAGGAGATAATTACGAGACCGCCATTCTCCGACCGGGGGAACCGAACCGTGCGAGTTCGAGACGATTGTTTGTTTACATGTTAAGCAAAAATGATGACCTTCTCAATTTCATTAGGCGGTGGAGAGTTTCAAATTCGGTTGGCCTCTTGCCCCGCCTCGGAATCAAAAGTCAACATCGTCGTGAGACTTTCAACTTCTTCTTTTTTTTCCCATATAGTTGAAAATTCGCCGCGTCCACGATCTTTATATCTTTCCATTTAGTTGATCGCGTTTTTTGCGAAAAATAAATATAATTCAAAATATATATTTTTCAAAAAAATGATCGCTCGTAGTGTTTAAAGTAATCGGTCGATGGAAAAGGCCTTCTTTATCGAACAGCAATTCACGTCTGAACATCTCCGTGCCGTTCATTCAATTTTATAAGCGATACAAGTAATCATTTTCGAGAAAATATTTTCCAATTCATTCACTTTCCACGAAAATAAACGGCGCGTGCGCCCTCGTTCAGAGGTTCAAGAAAACATTTATCTATAGATACATTCAAATTTGAGTTCTTTCCATGCACCTACACATTACAATGGACTATGGTTGACAATTCTTTCTATTCTGCACTAAAAAGAAAAAAACCATTTTGGGTTAATTTATTGAGGGTCAATATCATAATTAGAAGGAAAAAAAAAACCGCCATATAATTGTTCAATCAATATGTCATGTTTTTCGAAGCGCAAATGTTGAATCAATCTCAATAAATATTGCTATTATAATTCCTCGAATTTCTAGTGATGTCGGTCTCTCGATAAATATTTGATGGTTTTTCTTTTTTGCATGTCAATCGGTCCCTTGATAGCTCGAAAACTCGTACCGCATTCCATTTTATCTCCCTCTTGTTACGAAAAAATAAAATAAAATAAAACAAAAATAAAAGTGAGTCTTGGGTTAATATTGTTTTTTGGAATGATAGTTTTTGAAAAAAATAGAAAATTAAAAAGTGAGCACTTATTGCATCCTTATCGCCCACCACCTTCACTATCACTAACGCGTGTTTCTAAGCACTATGATCCCATGACATCACCACCGTATCGACACTTCACGCTCCGCCGCTTTCGCCGGAGTAAACACCGCTGCCCTAAAGCCGCCTTCTCCGCGGCCATCTTCATCGTCCCTCCGCCGTTCCACCACCGCTAGTTCCTCTCAATGTCGATGATCAGGGGTGAAATCGAATCGAGCTATTTTTATTTCACTTAAGCCGTTATGTCAACACCGTTTGCTTTCTAGCGTACATGTAAGCAAATTTTGGTTTCTGGCATCTATATAAGCAGATTTTTAGCAGTTCTTATTCACAGAATTTTGACAGAAGGTAAATAGGTTACACAGATATGAATTTGAGATTTTTGATGTCATAAAAAAAAATTTATGATTTTTTATGATTTTTGCATTTAAATTTAAGCATGGCCAGCAAATCCATAACTCAATACAAGGTCGAGTCAAAGTTTCGAATATCGAGTAATGAGTACACGACTGCCCCTTTTCACCTATTGTTTGACAATTTGATTTCGTAATCTAGTCTAGCCAATAAGGTGGCGGATTAGGAGTTGATCAAGTGCATCGAATGATGTGTTTACATCATGCGTCGACATACATTCATGTCCCAGCGCTTGACAAAGCTAACCCACGTTATTACCCTGTTCGGTTCCATTGTCGCGTGATTTCTCATGCATTCTGAAAACTATTTTAGACATGGAATGACACAGCTCGATCACAGCTTTCGTACCAGAAACAGCGTCAAAGTTCCTTGCTACTGAAGGCATCGTTTCGACTTGTTCCAGACTCGTATGTTCGTTTTGTTCAGAAGATTCATTGAAGAGAGAGCAGAAATCTTCATCCGAAGGCTAAAAAGAAAGGAACACGCAATCTTGCTTGGTATTTATTATCGGAGCGTTCCCATTCAAGCTTCAAATGGAATCACAGCTGCTCTCCGAAATTACGATACGCGTATTCACAATGGAAGCTAAAGTAGTACTTCTGTTTCAGCAAACCACCTAACTCATACACCAGCATCATATGACAGACAGGCATCATTTGCAAACTTCATAAAACAGGGTATGAAGCAAACAAAGCCACTTCAACAAGACGAGTACCCCAGTTCCCGCATAAGATGAAGATAATTATGTATTCTTGGAGACCGCTAGGCCCGAAAACTACAGGTTGAGGGCTTGGGCATGATGGAGGATGTGATCGTCGATGAAGGTGGCGATAAAGAAGTAGGAATGATCATAGCCCGGCTGCAACCGCAAAAGAACCGGGACTCCATGTTTCTTGCAAGCTTCTGGGAACTTGTTTGGCAACAGTTGATCGTGCAAGAATTTGTCATCTTCCCCCTGCGGAAAGAAATTACCCCATGATTAATGGCCAATACATGGTCCATGATTCAAAACGAATTAAAGATTTTCTGCCCACAAGCAAATAGAACAAATGCATTTAAAAGTTCAAACTGGGCCGCAGATAAGCCAGTCAAGGGTTGGGCAGAAATCCAGGCAATCTTAACATTTTCAACTGCTGGGTCCGCCGTAGTTGCATTTGTTGACTGATTATTTTCGTTACTTTTTAATATCAAAATTGCACTCAGATCATTGGTAAGCGACCCGTGAGGAAGGGAACACCCACGATTCTTTCAACTAACCATAGCGTTACTTTTAATCCACACCAAAGACACCAAAGAGAGACAGACAGCTTTGCCTCCCCAAGAGTTTTGAATTGTCTTATAAATCCCATACTAGTCTGCAACCATCAGCTTAAACAACCCAATGCTGAAGAAAGCTGTAATTTTGAGATGAAGATGGCCGAATAGGAGAAAGATGTACGATTGAGATAGCAATTTGTAAAAGATTTCGTTTATTAAGATCTCAATAGCTCAGTGACACTAAACTTGTCTTCCATTGACTCCTACTTGGTTGGGTTGATTACAGTGCAAAGCCATGTGCGTGCTCTTCAGCTGCAATCGTAAAGTCTAAAATGGGTTTCTCTTAATGGGTTTATTGGTCCACCTGCAACTGCGACTAATAATACTTCAACTCGGTTGCAATTATGTGCAGGCACAATGCAAAGGCATGTGCCCCTTGGCTGCAACGGTGAAGTACAAATGGGTTTCTCATAAGCGACAGTTTCCAACTGGACTGGCTTAACCAAGATTAGACCGACCTGTTTTATCAATCCATCTGTGATCAAAACCAATACAACCTGGGTACAACTATTTCCTGAGCAAAAGACTCAACAAGATCAGACTCTTGAATCAGTTCTAGATAAGGAACCCCACCTTAGATGGGCGAAGCCCTACACTGACTAAACCATTAGCCGAGTACGATGTGAATTGCAACCCGATTTGGATGAGGCAGACACCATATTGTGTGCATTAACAGGTGTTGGAAGCACTGATAATCACTAATCAAGTACTTCCTGGAAAGGGAAAAAAACTAAGCAGCTTCATGTACATATTTCCCGGAAAAAGTATGTGCTGACATGAAGTCTCACAAAAGAGTACAACATGCAGGTTGTTCGACTTGTTTTTCTATTGTGTCAATAAATTTGTATATAGATACAGGCTCAGCAGAATGTTGAATGATTACTTTGCTCACTGTAACTCCAAAAAAGGGACAGAGAAACTAGCTTGTTAAACCAATCCGGTGATATTACTCTAGAAAGAGCAATTTATTTCTGTAGCGACTTTCTCATTCAAAATTACCCTGACTAAATGTCATCCGGCACCAGCATAAATAAGGCTATTAATTCAAAGAAGGCATTTTCCATGAGAGAAGATTAACAAAAAATATATAAATTCTAGAATCACAAGCTCAAAGGACAAACTTACTTGATCAATTAGTATGGTAGCAGACACATCATGGAACTTTGCAACTAGGCAAGTAGCATCATATTCCTCCCAATCAGCTTTATTTTCACCTAAATAGTTGATAAAAGCCTTCTGGCCCCATGCACAGTTTATAGGATTCACAATTGGAGCAAAGGCAGAGACCGACTGCAAAATGAGTGAGTCAGAAAACACTGAGAGTGAGTCTGCATAAGTGGATACTAATGCGAAATATTCTAGTTAATTCTCAAATTCAGATTATAGACGAGTTCAAATTAAAAAACTTTATAACTTTAGGAAACTGCAGATTTAAAAATGGGGCACTAGAGCAAGATGAAGATTTCCATTTGCTATAAATGGACCGTAGAGCCTAGGTAAATAGTCTGCAGACATATAATTGCAAGAGAAAATCATTTTAAAGTGTCAAGCATTTGCACTTATTGGATTGGGACTGAAAGTTGAACAAAGGTAGCAACCCTCAGGGCTATGAAATCAGTAGCAGGTAGGCTTATGTTATTTACCTTATATTTGTCACGATTTTTTAGGTAGATCGTCAGAGCACCATGTCCTCCCATAGAATGACCAAATATAGATGCCTTTGCTGTATCAAGCTGTGGGAAATTCTCAGCCAGAAGTTGGGGCAATTCCTTGACAATGTAATCGTACATACGCCAGTTCTTCCACTTTTCTTGGGTAGCATTAAGATAAAAGCCAGCACCTGGTTAAAATAAAGGAAACAACCACTCAAGACAAATCGCATATTGCAACAAAGAATTTGTCTAAATTCAAACTTCTCGTGGCTCTTATTTGGGGTATCAATCATAAATAATATTGGAGCATTCGTCACACCCTAGTTCATTTGGCTTCGTCAGAACCCATGACAACATCACCGATCACCAATCTTCAGGAGGAAAACAATATTTGCATCACACCCGATGTTATTCTATCAGTAAAATGAGTACGAGGTCACCAAAAACCAAAATTCAAGATAGACAATAGTAATAGGATGACACACTCCACTTTTCTAGTATGATGAAAATACTATATGAAGCTATGACGTCAAAAGAGATACCCTTCAAAATTAGAATGGAAAGTGCCCATAAATTTCATACAATAGACTGCCATACTGCCTCCCATCTCAGCATGACTGTGTATTAGTGAATAAATTCTTAAATAAAATTCTCAGTTTGAGTCATCAAAACACATTCTGCTGACAAATCTTAAAGCAACTCCAAAAAGTAAACTCTTTCTCAGAACAATTGGTAAAAGAAACAATTTTAATTTATTTATCCTACATAGAGGTGAGGCACACGAGGATTATACTTCTTAGCAACTTGGACCTGCTGATAGGGGTGATAAATATAATAGTATATCTCTAAATAAACATCAGCCGGTCTGGGGGTACTCTAAGAGCAGTATATTGTGGAGGTAGAATACGTCATAGCATTGAAGATGAATGCACTCTGAAAAAGTCGATGGAGATACTAATGCGGCATACCTACGCCAAAATCCCAGCTGTCTGCTTCTCCTTCCACATTCAGGCCTCCTGCAATGTATAAATAACAAACATAGCTTCGATATCAAGGAAGAAAGCAGCAGTTTTAGCGCTCACTCATAATATATCCTCAGGTTTATCAAATACGAAAAGTTTATAAGCCAAGATATAGCATGCAAGTATTGAGAAAGCTAATAAGATAAGAGAGCGAAATAACAACGGATTTGGCAGATGAATTGTCCAAGTTGCTCCATACTAATGGATTTGGACTCCGACTGTGGCATTACATCAAAATTAGCACCATAAGAACTCCATCCTTTCTGCACCCGAAATTGAAAATACCGGGTAAGACCCATCACAGTTCCATTACCGATATCCAAATCCCTCTGATGGAAATCCTATCTCTGCAACAGGCTAGAACCAGCAACACAAATGGACGCACCAAAAAGCGAAACGATAAAGCGGGCTAAACCGAAAACATGCGATGGACAAGTAAACAGGGATACGGGTCACCGACTCGGAGACGTATCGGGCACGATCAGGGCAATGCCCTCTTTGGAAGCCGCGCGTTGAGCGCCGGATTTCGCAATGAAATTCTCGTCCGTGCACGTGAGCCCAGACAACCAGTACAGCACCTGCTCATTCACACGGCCAAAGCAATTAAGGGAGCACAATCGATCGACGCCAATCCACACCCCCCCACGCTCACGTACACAAACATACACACACACAAACGCACGCTCATCTTAAATCGTCGAATGCGGAAAGCTAAAAAGACACGAACTTTTCTAATCCGCAGACCAAACGAGATGAACCCAGATAAACCCGGAAAGTGGAATTGAGAAAGAAGGCCTTCGATGAGCAACGGAAGGCGAAGATCGAGGACTTACAGGGGATCTGTGAGAAGGGGAAGGAGCAGGAGGGAAGAAGATGTGGAAGTTCATGGAGCAACCGAGGGTTGGGCTGAAATGCTTATATCTCCGGTTGTAACCCCCGAACATCTTCGAGCTGCTTATCTCGCTTGGCTTCGTCTCCATCTTCTTCTTCTTCCTCGCCTCTCTCTCTCTCTCTCTCTCTCTCTGAGTGCCTACAGTGAGTCGAGCTCGAGCTCACTCTCACTCGAAGCTTTCTCGGAGAGACTAGCAACGAGGCAGACAGGATAGCTACAGTGGCTTAACCTTATGATATAAGTATTTATACGAGTGATTAATTCCGGTGAGGGTATATAAAAATTCGTAATTACAGAAAGACCTCGCCATACATGTAAATTACATGCTAATACTCCCATCAATTCAAAGTCAACTCGATACTGTTTGGTGCGAACATGAAAAACGGGGTTGAGAGTGAACTAAATGGCGAAAATGTTGTCACGGTAAACAGTTGGATTTATAAAAAAAAAAAGAGGAACGCCCAGCTCATAAAGTAAATAACAAATCCAAATAATCTTTCTAACGCAGTAAGCGACAACACGATATGAGATTTGCCTACATGACATGACTCTCAGGATACTGACTTAGAATTAGAATTTCAAACATGACTCAAAACTTGTTAATTAGGATGGCCTAGACTAACATGCCATCAAGCAAGTGAAGTGAAGGAAACCACCATAAGATACAAATAAGGTGATATCAATGAGTTGGAAATCGCATAAAGACCATGAGAAGAGTCAGCTTGGATGACAACTTACCCTGTTCGTTGATCCTTCAAAGAAAATGATGAATCATTAAAATCAGTAACATAAGAATTTTTACGGCCAAGTTGAGTAATTGAGAGGAGACTGCGAGCAAGATTAGGAACATAATAGACATGAGATAACAACAAGGATCGAGAGCCAATATGCAAAAAGACTTTACCCACTTGCTTAATAGGCAAGAAATGACCATCACCAACCAAGACTTTTATCAAATTGTAAAAGGGTCTAAGATTTAGGATTTTATTAATGTCATTAGTCATATGTACTGACACTCCTCTGTCAAGATACCACATTGGATCAAAAGTCTCACCAACTGAGAAAGCCGAGAAGGAGTCCAAGAGAACGTTGTCGGCGAAGGCGTGGTTAAATAGTTGTCGACATTCCCCATTATAGATTTGACAAAAAAGATGAGGCCTAGATCCAAGAATGCCTCTATGAGTGAATGGAGAACAAAGGGTGGGAGTCTCGAACCACAACGGAAGAGTAAGAGACGACAGGGTTGATTGCACAGCTATAATTTGAGCAACAACATAAATCGATGCAACAAAGAAGATGGAAGAAGAGGTGAAAGTAGACGCAATGTTGTTGAGAGGTGATGGGAAATTTGGATTAACGAAAAGAGAAGATGGTGGGTAAAGAGATGAATGAGAAGAAGAAAAAATTGGAGATGCATCGCACATTGTTGAGATAGCAATTGGAGCCAAGGAAGTCTTGATCTGGGGTAGTAATGTTGAAGAATTTGATGCATTTTCCTTCTTTGATACCATGATGAAATTTAGAGCCACAAAGAAAATAACGAAAACGACAGAGAGTAGCGAAACGGGTCAAGTGAATAATGCCAGAGAGTTTATAGTGGCTTAACCCTCAATTAAAGTTGTATGACATGTATTTATAAGAGCGATTAATTACAATCAGAATACACGCGAAAATATAATTATAGAAAGACCCCTAATATTTATAAGGGAAAAAACCACCAAAAACCCCAAACTTGCGCCATCGTGACACATTTACCCCGAACTTTTTTGTGACACCAAAACCCCGAACTTTGCTTTTTGTGACACATTTACCCTAATGTATTTAGTCCATGGGCATTTTCGTCTTTTCGCTTTTTCTTTTTTTTTCCTTTCCGGCGAGGGGCCTCGCCGTCGGCTCAGCCGCGGGTTCGGGCGAGGTTCGCGCCTCGCCCGGGCGAGCGAGGGCGGCCCTCGCCCGGCTCGGGCGACGGGCGAGGTCGACCTCGCCCGAGCCGGGCGAGGCCGCCTCGCTCGCCCAGGCGAGGCGGACCTCGCCCGACGCCGGCGAGGGTCGCCCGCTCTCGGCGAGCGAGGCGGCCCTCGCTCGACTCGGGCGAGGCCGACTCTCGCCGACGCCGGCGAGGTCGACCTCGCTGGTCGAGCGAGGACGCCTCGCTACGCCCAGCGAGGGCGAACCTCGCCGCGCCGGCGGGGGCCGCCCTCGCCCGATCTCGGCGAGGTCGACCCTCGCCGGCGTCGGCGAGGCGGCCTCGCCGATCCGGGCGGGAGGCCTCGCCGAGGCTCGGCGAGGTCGACCTCGCCCGGACGCCGGCGAGTCGACCTCGCCCGGGCGAGGCGGCCCTCGCCGCCCGGCGGGCGAACCTCGCCCGACGCCGGCGGGACGCCCTCGCCGGGCGGCGAGGGCCGCTCGCCCAGGCTCAGCGAGGTCGACCCGCCGGCGTCGGCGAGGGCGGCCCTCGCTCGCCCGGCGAGGCGAACCTCGCCCGACGCCGCGAGGCCGCCCTCGCTCGGCGCGGCGAGGCCCCTCGCCGGATTCGGAAGGCCGACGCCGGCGAGGCCCCTCACGGAAAGGAAAAAAAAAGAAAAAAAAAAGAAAAAGCGAAAAGACGAAAATGCCCATGGACTAAATACATTGGGGTAAATGTCACAAAAAGCAAATTCGGGGTTTTTGTGTCACAAAAAAGTCGGAATCTGTCACGATTAAGAAAGCAGTGTTTTGAGGTTTTTCCTATTTATAAATTACGTAATCAGCCAGGGAAAGACTTTGTGGGCTCAGGCCATCACTGGGCTCGAGCCCAATTGAATCGAGTACCACCCACGCAACGCTAGGTGCTCCTATGACAGCCGCGAGACGGCGGTGGTTTGCCGGTTGCGTGTCCTGGTCTCCGAGGGTTTTGGGGTCTCTTCCTCCTCCGACCATCTTCTTCTTCTTCTTCTTCTTCTTCTTCTGGGTCGGGTGGCTCGCCGGCGATGGCGGAATCCGAGAAGCCGGCCGACCTGAAGAAGCTCCTGGAGCAGTTGCGCCGGAGAGCATCCGAAGCCGAGGTCAGCCCATGATGTTTTTACGTCACTTGCAATCCCGTGTTGGTCTCTGTACATTCATGTCCGTGTGCACATGCCGTGTAGATCAGTGCGTGTGATTATCTTCCTCGTGCAGATGTTCGCCGTTTGACGTTTCTGTCGTCAGTACGGTCGACATTGTCGTTAGCTGTACATTGATCTGGGCATAGTTGATAGGGATGCGCGAGGAGATGTGCTCATTAGCAGATGATTCTGCAGGTGTCTCTTTGCAGAATCGCGTGTTCTTTTCTGTGACTTCGCGCGCTATCCGCGAGTGCCCGCATGTATGTTGATACGGGCGACTGCGTCTGCGCGCGCGCGCGTGCTGGGTTTGGGTACTTGTATTTGTGCAGTTGCGTGTGTGTGCCGTGGGCGTGCTTGCGTGTCTGCAACTTGCAGGCACGGGCTTTGTGTGCAAACCCGAGCTTGTTAGATTCGATGTGCTGAAGTAGTTATTGATTTTGCTTCTTGGATCTTCAATCGATGTCAATCGATTGTGTCGGAGGTGCTTCATTCGGCTTTGCTTACAGATGACGGTCACTTGCCAATTGCGGAAGTTGAATATCCATATGGTCTTGGTTATCGAGGTCTAATTTGCTTTGCAATCACCTGACCGTCATCACGGTGCATTTGGTTTTTCTTTGACTATATATTTTAAATTGTCTGGCAACTCTGGTTTAGCAAGAGAAAACTCATTTCTTCAAAGAAATGGTGCAGGATTTGTAACAGTGATGACTTAAACATCAAGTCTAGGTTTTGGTCTTGGACATGTTTTTTTTTTCGTTGCATGAACTTTTTCTTTTGCCAACAATTTCGAGTCCTTCAACTTCAACTATCATGAAACAAGAATTGGGATTGTATGTCTTATATATTCCCTGAAACTGACATCTTGCTGGTGCATTCATTTTGCTTGAAAGGATCGCTTGTCCAGACTCGAAGCTGCTGTTGCAAAGGAGAAAGGTAGGTCCTGAGGCTGCCCATCTAAGTTCTGTCTATTATGCTCCAGTACTTCCATTGTCTCATTCATCGACTTAAGATTTGCTTGCTGATCTAGATTCTTATGAGGAGGAATACTTGAAAAAGATTAGCAAACTAGAGTCGGAGCTCGAATGTGCAAAATCGGAGTTAGCTGCAGAACATAAAAAGGTAGCACGAGTGCCTAATTGTTCCATGTCTTGTCTCATTTGGGGAATCATGGATTATTACAGTATCTCTGTTGCATGAATTGCAGGCAGGGGAGCTTGCTGCGGAGAACGCAAAACTCAAATATCGCGTGACTCATCTTGTTCAAGCAGTGAAGGAGGCTGATCTAAAGCTAGAGAGCAAGGGAATCTGAGTAGATATCTAAATCGATTCTCCTTTTCGGGAAATGAATAGGCGACATACAAAAGCAATATTTAAGGTTGAATAACACGATACCTTTGAATTACCCCCAAACTCTAGAATGTATTGTAGACCTTTTTCTGTTTATAAGAACTTGACACTTGTGACTTGAATGTTATGAATCACAGTAACCTTATTTCCCTTAATTAGTTTACTTTTATGAGGAGGGTTGATTGACTTGTCATTAAAATAGTACGAGTTTTTTCGGTTATTATGCTCGGTTTGACCCTTTCTTGGGTTTACTGAATGGGGTTATCATCCCATTCTAACAACTCTCGTTTCTTCACTTGAAAGATCGGAACTTTTAGCCCAACTGGAACGATAGCCTCTTTTGGAAGTGCTCTGTGGAACTGTTTTGGACATTCTGCTTTTGGGATTTAATGGTCTTTTAAATAAGAAGCTTTGAACTGATACACATTAGCATCTTTCTCTTGAAAATATTTGTGCGGGGAATACCTGCTATAGCCATTCAATATCAACTGTAGGCAATCAAGTGCCATTCACAGAACAAATCTGGTTTTGGGAGTCAAGCGGGACTTGTTTTGTTTTCGTTTAAAATGACGTAAGGTTAGGTACAGTTTTAATACTCTTGAGTATTACTGTTTGTGTGCCATTTGGTTGCCTTTTAACTGTTTCTTTTTATCAAGGATGTATCCTCTTACCTCTCAAAGTTTGCATAATAGAGTCGTTCATCTTTGATCATTGGCTAATATCATTTGCACGTGCGGGCGGAGAGAGAGGAGGAAAGAGGGAGGGATTGGGGGGCGGTGTCGGTGTCCGCGCGGTGGCCCAATCTCGGCCGAAAAAGCCGGCAAAGGTCGGCCGACGGCCCTCGTGGGCCGCATACGTGGGACCAGCAACGGCAAGCGAGCGATGCCTTCTATTCGTTGGGGCTACTCCCTGCCCAATTTTTCCCCTTCTTCTAGCTTAGTTAGCCCCAACCCTCTTTTCCCTTCTTCTAGCTAGTTTGGCAACCCATGTTTGAGCACCTTGCAGATCGCTAGACCCCCGCCTAGGGCGGGCAAGGGTTATTAAACCCCTCACCGGGGAGGCTGGGCCACCGCGCCTAGCGCCCGGACTCTCTCTCGTTTCTTCTTAATTGCTGATGTGAAGCCAAGTCAACATCGCATTCTCAAATTTCACCCCATTGATGGGGTTATTCTATGGTTGATAAAAGAGGGAATCGATTGCGCAAAGTGTGAGAAGTAAGAGGACTGCATTAGACAAAAGAAGAAAAAAAAGAGCTAAAAGGACCAAATAACATAGGCAATAATACTTGTAGGACTGAAAATGAGCATGACCCAATAGTTGGAAAAATTTTGGTAAGCAAATCTTTACAACAATTTCCAGGCCACCGCTCAATTCAATAAAATTTAAACTAGGTAGCTTGGTTGGCACCTTATTTTCTAAATGATAAGGATACTCTCATTATGTAGATAAGCGGGTGGCTTAAACATGAAATTATTTCACTAGGTCATATGGGAATTCGCATTTGGGTCATGCGCCAATCCACATGCATAAATGCATCTAGTCATTGCCGTGAAATCTAATCTCGACACTTTCATCGAACTTAGAAGTGGTAACTTGTATACGGACTTAAATTTTGTAAGTTCAAAGTGCAACATAACTTTCAGGAAGGAAATTGCCTTTCCGTCTATCTTGGAATAGATAAGTATTTGGATACTAAATTCTTTTCATTACCTCTTATAGAGTTATCTCATGTTTATCAAGCGATGAAATATGGATAGTAGATTTACGATGTTAAGTTTTTGAATTCGACTTTAGGCCCTTTTTCATAAAAAAGAATTTGGGCAAGTTCATCACGGTTACAGCTAAATCTACATAAAATAGTAAACATCATTTTTTTTCCCAGAGTGTATGGTAAAGATTGACATTGGTTCTCAGCATAGCAAGTCAATTTTAAATTGTTTGAGAGTATTGCGTATCAAACCATAAAAGTAAAGGGTTGTTAGCACATCACATAAGCTGTCTCCTGATTAGTAAATGCATAAACGTATCATATAAGATCTGTCCCTAAAGTCCTAGAGAGATGGCATGAAGTAGAAGCTTTAGAGTAGTTTCGTGAAGTCAAAGAATCTTTCCTCATCTTCCTTAATCATGGATCATTGCATGGCACGTGACTGATTAGAGTACTTCCAAAATAAAGAATTTCCATACTTAATTTAGTGTTTAGCATCGTTTGATCTCTATTATTGTGTTACCTAATCTCCGTTAACGTCTAAGTCTATGATGAAGCTGGAGGTAACCCGTTGTTGTTTAGTCATGCAATTATTTACAAACTAGCAAGCTAAGAGTTCTCTAAGGTATTCTAGCAAGACGACGACGGGGAACGCAATTTTGGGGAAAATTGTCCAAAAAGTTCTAAACATATTTGCGCTTTTGTCAATTCAGTTCTAAACCTTTTAATTTTGCCAATTAAGTTATAAATATTTTCACGTTTTGCCAATTGAGTATATCTGTCCAATTTTGGCTGGAAATCGCTGCCATAGGTGCTAGTTGTCCGACATGGCGCGACTGATGCTGACGTGAATAATTTTTAATAATAATTTTTTTCAAATTTTTTTATTAATTTTTTTTCTTTTCTTTTTCCTCTCTTCTTCCTCTGCCAGTCTCTGGGCTTGGGCAATGGTCAGTGACCAGCTAACGGGAACCACCAGCAATTGTCGCTCCTCATCGAAGGTCGGCGAGGTCGAGCCTTGCCCCAAGTTGGCGAGGTTGACCCTCGTCGGTTGTTTCCTTTTGCCAATTGCTAGCCATTGCCCAAGCCTAACGACCGGCGAAGAAAGAATGGAGAAAAAAGAAAAAAATTGTATGTGTCAGCATTGACCGTGTCACGTAGGATGGCTGGTATCCACGTTAGCGATTTCCTACTAAAATTAGACAGATTGACACAATTGGCAAAACGTGAAAGGTTTAGGACTCATTTGGTAAAATTAAAATGTTTATATTTGAATTAACAGAAGTGCAAACATGTTTATGACTTTTTGGACAATTTTCTCGGCATTTTTGCTATACATTCACGCGATTGGTAGCATGACTTGTAATCTAGGGTTGGTCAAATAGTCAACATCGAGATTTTGGTTTTCAAAGAAGCTTAAATGTTTGATGCAAGCTCGCGAAAAAAAGTATGATTAATACCATAAAAAATCTCAAATTAGTAGTATCTCACGACACATTCACCTGAAACTGATTATCATCTAAAAAAAATCTCAAACCGGTATTGCCTTATCCAAATCCATCCTCCATTAGCATTCTATCCAATATTCCCTATCATTCAGATCTTTCTTATAATCGTATGTCACGTGTATTGACACGTACGCAATTTGTCAGGATATCGAACGGAATACTGACGGATCTTTGAATTCCGCGTGTTATTTAAGTTTTCAGAGTCCTTGCTTCTTATAATCTTTGGTACCATGCAGCACATTCACTCCGAACTACTTTTCATCCCACAAAAAAATAATACCGGGCCCTTATTAATTCCAAAGGGTAATATAATCTTTCTTTGTACCTACGAAAAGTAGAATCTCAAAGGATTTAAGAAAGCAGCACAAGTAAAGAGAATGTTGTACAAAACAATGGCTGCTAACTGACACTTCCCCATTTACCAAAAGCCGTTTTTACGGGCCAAGCAAGAACCCAAAAGAATGGCAAGTGGGGAAACGACACTCTCTCTTCCACATGTGCCCCTCTTCATGAATTTCTCCACAAAAAAAACAAAAAAAATGGATAATGACACAAACAGTCCCTGAACTTTGACTCAATATGTAATTTGATCCCTGAACTTTTAATTTGTTTAATGTAGCCCCTAAACTTTAAAATAATGTTCAATTTGATCCCTGAACTTTTAATTTGTTCAATGTGGTCCCTGAACTTTTAATATGTGTTCAATTTAGTCCCTGAACTATATAAAAATATTCAATATAGTCCCTGCACTTGAATTAATGGACGGACTTAATTGAAATTTTTTAAATATTTATGGGAATAAATTGAACAAATATTAAATGTTCAGGGACCACATTGACAAATCAAAAGTTCAGGGATCAAATTGAATATTAGGTTAAAGTTTAGGGATTATATTGAATAAATTAAAAGTTAAGGGATCAAATTGCACATTGGGTCAAAGTTCAGGGACTGTTTGTGTCATTTTCCAAAAAAAAAACAACAACACATCACTAACAAACGACAAATCAAACTTCAGCAGACATCGCTGTTTCTTCTTCTGCTGCTGCTGCTTCTTCTTCTTCTTGCTCTTCTTCCACCTGCACTGATCCCAGCCAAATTGGACGCACCGATCGCTTTCACATCACATTTGCCCCCTACCTTTGCCCACCCACCAATCTAGCCTCCCACCCAGATACTCATTCGCCGCCGGGAGCGACGGAGCATGCTCAAAGGTGCCTCCTTTTCCCCATCCCGACCCGCATAAGATCTGCCCACGAATCCGAACCGACCGCCGAGCGATTCCCCAATGTCGTCGGCCCCAAAGAAGCAAGCCCTTTTCATAGCTTCCCTGATCACGCTGTGGTACTCGTCCAACATCGGCGTCATCCTCCTCAACAAGTTCTTGCTCTCCAACTATGGCTTCCGGTTCCCCATCTTCCTCACAATGTGCCACATGTCGGCCTGCGCCGCCTTCAGCTACGTCTCCATAGTCTTCCTCAAGCTCGTCCCGCTCCAGCTGATCAAATCCAGGCCCCAGTTCATCAAGATTGCGACCCTGAGCGTGGTGTTCTGCGCGTCGGTGGTGGGGGGCAACGTGTCGCTCCGGTACCTCCCCGTGTCGTTCAACCAGGCGGTGGGCGCGACGACGCCGTTCTTCACGGCGGTGTTCGCGTACCTGATGACGTTCAAGAGGGAGGCTTGGGTCACTTATGCCGCCCTCGTGCCGGTTGTCACCGGCGTCGTAATTGCCAGTGGGGTATGGCTTTGCATGTGTGAATTAAATCACTTAAATTGAGTATCTGTTGTTTTGGTTGCATTCTGTTTTTTGGAGCGATTTTAAGGCTTCATTTGAAGGTTGATCTGCATCGTTGAAGGATTTGGTAGAATCTGATTGATAATGATCCAGATCTGCATTCTTGTTGCTAGAGTTGATGTTTTTGTTGCTCTGTGATGCTTACTCCTGCTGAGTTTTGTTGTCCTGTTGGAGCAATAGTAAATTTAGGCAGTTTTTTTTTTCTAAATTCGGTTATTCATGTGGAGATTTCCTCAAACTGCAATAATGTATTCACTGTAAGTTTGAATATAGGTGATAGATAGTTAGCTTCTCAAGCTTGAACTTGAGATCATTACCACTACTTTCATAATCGTAGCTAAGTTTTCAGTTTATTTGAGACAGGTCTGAAAACAAACTGAAAAGAGTTGCCTTTAAAGATATCGTTGCAATAGGATTTGTGTTAGAAGGGATGCATCAAACATTTTGCCAAGAATGGAAGGTGAATTTGTCTCTTGGGAGGAGAGGTGGATCTTTCCAAGCCTTGGGAAGATCTCTGGAAAGAAGAAAGTCATTACTTTTATCTATAAAGAAATTGCTCTCCTTCTCCTCTTGGTTAATGTGGATTTTACACTATCACCTGCTTAGAGATCTCAGAGAGAAGGATGCGTAATCTTGGCATGAGCGCTTTGCCAAAAGTTTTGGTCGATGTATTTCATTCAGTGGGTTGCTTGTTTGTGAAGATGTTGATAGTGTGTTTGGCTCTTCTTTTACACTACATCAGGCTTTTATAGAAATTGAAGAGATAAAGTGATGTTCAAATGAAGATGGGATGGAGATCAGATCCACAATTGATGTTGGAAAGTCTGTGGTTTATTGGTTTTATGGCTAATACACTTCTTGTCTTCTATAGTATGAAACGCCCCTTAGAAATTATGTAATGTGGACCTCCTTGATGTCTCTTGCCTGCTTACTCATTTATCTAAAGAACTCTATACCCATTTTGGAGACTTTTGTCGTCTAGCCAAGTATATTTTCCGCTGTCAGCTACGGGTTTATGGCAGCAGAATACCAGATGGCACAAGAGGATTTTATTTTACTACTTCCTTAACTGATGCCCCTGCCAAGTAGAAGTATTTCAGTTACCTTATGCATCCATTGGCGTCTTCAAAGTGACTTGAAAAGGAAAGATGCATGACATGGTGATTCTTTGCCATGAGTTATTGTCAAAATTGGAGCCTCACAAGCTTTACATTAGAGTTGTCCATTGGTCAAAGATGCTAAAGAAAACAGAAAATGTTTAAAGTGCCAAAAATGGTTTCTCGATAGATGAATGAATTCTTCTAGCTGAGAATGCTGCTTTCCTGGAAGCTTATGGAATAAGTTGATCATCTCCTTGTCCCACATTAACGTTCTATCTTATCTCTCCGGCATGATAAATTTTCCTTGTTGGTGGCAGGGGGAGCCAAGTTTTCACTTGTTTGGATTCATCATGTGCATCAGTGCAACTGCTGCAAGGGCATTTAAGTCTGTACTTCAGGGTGTCCTACTTTCTTCCGAAGGGTAATTGCTTTCTAAAATACCTCTTATGATACCCTGTTAAGAATTCATTAACAACTTTTGATGCAGTTTAAATGCTCAGAGGCATCTAAGTCCCATGCAACAGTTTAAAGTAGCCCATCTATATTGTATATTGGCCTCTTTTCCTGGTTAAGCAAGGACATGCTAGATGGAAGAAGGAACAAATATTTAGATCACAAATAGAAAAGTTTTAATAGACAAATAGTTCTACTGTGTTTTTACTATCTCCATCTGGAAAATAGAAAATTTTCTTCCCTAAACAGTCCGAATCCTATTTCCGAAATTTGAATGATGAGATCCAATGGCATACCATGAATGTTCATGAAGTACAGGTACTTGCTCTATGCAAATGAAATGCCATAAAAAAATTTGTTAGCTTATTCCCAGTCTATGAGAGTGGCCATTATATTCAGAGGTTTTGCTCTCCTGTCTCCTGAGAAATTACTCTACCGTTGAATCACGACTTGGAAATTGACATTCAATTACGATACAGGGAAAAACTGAATTCGATGAACTTGCTGCTGTACATGTCACCGATTGCGGTATTAGTCTTGCTACCGTCGACACTCATAATGGAGCCAAATGTCTTAGAAGCCACTTTATCACTCGGAAGAGAACACAAATTCATGTGGCTGCTTCTTTTGGTTAATTCAGCCACTGCCTATGCAGCCAACTTAACTAACTTTCTGGTCACCAAACATACAAGTGCCCTCACGCTCCAGGTTGGACATACTTTATCTTTGTTTAGTCCTCTATCATGATCCTGATTCTCATATTAGCTTGTAGCTTGCCTAATTCTGTTGAAGCAACTGACAAAATCACTATTATACTTGTCCAGAAGAACATAAGTTATAGACTGTTGTTCGATTAAATGATGGTTTTTTCTTGTTTTTATAGGAATTCTCGCAGTGAAAGAGCAGTAGCAGGGATTGTCAATAATTATTGATTAGACTGCTTAGAGAAAAGTCTATTTTAGACTTGTGGTCATCAACTCCTATTTTGATGTTATAGCCTCTTAATCTGTAGCTTCTTCTATGAGAAGTGAAATCGTTTGTTGCATGTTGATGAACATTTTTATTGGCTACATAAATTAGGACCCTCAAAAACTTTATGGAGACAAGGACAATAGTAATTGGTTAGTCTATCCAAGCTTTTTGTTTTTCACAGGTAGTTCTTCATGTTTCTTTATTGTGGCAGTTAGATATTTGTTCTTTGCAACTTTCATGTTGGAGTTATGAGCAAGACCAGAAAGAAGCTCGAGAATTACTTGCTAAAAACACTCTCTGCATTAATTGTGTCGACATCACAAATAAGTTGGTTGAACTATGTTGATTTGATTTTAACTTTTTTGTACATTATGTATTGATCAGGTACTTGGAAATGCAAAAGGTGCTGTCGCTGTTGTGATCTCTATACTATTGTTCAGAAATCCCGTGACAGTGATGGGCATCGGTGGATACGTGATAACAGTCTTGGGGGTTGTTGCATATGGAGAAGCAAAACGGAGATTCAAGTAAAGGTGGCGGACTTGCCTATGGGTCACTTACACGACCCGATTCCTATTAAAATTCGCGGTGCGACATTGCCTGATTAGGTGGAGGTGGTATTTTTTATTCTAGTATATGATTATTCTTGCTATTAGGAACGAAATCGAGGAGGGAATGGAGCAAGATTGCTCAACAATCCGATAGTGGAATTCTTCGTTTAGTACCCCGTCATTGTATACCTCACTTTGGAGGTGGCATGAGATGCTTCCTAGCAAATTTGATGTCACCACACTTGTTAAATAGTCAGCCTTATCACTTAGGAGTCATTTGGCCTGGAGCATTACTTAAAATATATTCAGGAACTGTCCTTCTTACGAATATAGATTGCAAGGAATCTGCCTTTTCTTTTTATCAATTCTGGGCCTTAAATCTGCAAATCCTCTCGTTTCTTTAAGTGGCTACATTGGTGCGCATCTCTGGATGAAGGAAGGTTGGAGGAAGTTTCTCTGAATGTTGAGTTACACGTTATGAACATAATTCACATGCAAATTTAGCGAAATGATGATTCGGGATCTATCAACCAGAAAAGTGGTCGGAGAAAGTTTTCGATGGATCAGAGATGGAGTTGTTTTAAGTCCCAAGCTGACCTAGAGCTAGATCAATTCAAAACAGCTTCAATTTTGACACAAAGCGATCAGTTTCATAAGGGACTCAGAAGACACCCTCCTCGTTTGTAGGTGGAAGAGAAAAAAACATGTTACATTGTTAATCGGGTTAGATATTGATTATCTGAAAAGCTTGGGAATTGCATTACTTTGCCACTTACCGAATCTTTGCTTTAAGAATTTGAATTTATTTGGGATAAGTGCGGAAACGGGATTTAAGGTTTTGGCTATTGGTCGATGATTTAAAGTATTGGTTTTGGTCCATTGAGGACTTAAGGTCAAAATAACCTCAATCAGATATTGAGCTCGCCGTCAGCAGAATTTAGGCATCTAAAATGGGACGTGTTTCCAACTCGTCATTTACGACGAGATATTTTCGGCGCCTGATTACAATACTGATGATGAGTTGGAGACTTAGCCGTGGCGTTCTCAAAATCTCAAGTTGTCAATTGACTAAAATACCAGTAATAACGAGCCGGAGACTTTGATTGTGGCGTTTTTTAATACTCTAATAAGTCCTCAACTGAACAAAATAAATTCTTTGCATTTTCAATCGGTCAATGACCAAAATTTTGAATCAGGTTGCTGCATTTGTCACTTTAATCAGGTAATGCACCAAATTTCTAACTTCTTGTTATTGATGCACTTGGACTGAAAATTCAATCTATACTTTCGGCTAAATGTTGACACGGTGCTCACGAGGCAACAATATGACGTTTGGAGAGGAAGGTTACGAGTATGCCACATTAGCAATCTGTCGGGAAATCGGCTCCGGACTCCCATCAGTGTGCGCCAATTGCAAATGTATCGAGTGACTGAAATCGAAAGCCAGAGATTAAACTTTAATTACCATGAACGGAGTTTGCGTCTCTGAAATTCATGTACCGAACCCCACGTTCCCCACACGCTCATTCCTAAATCCTCAACCAACTAAGTCGTGAACTCACAAAAATTCTTCGACCAAAAAAAAAAAAAAAGAACTCACAAAAATTCACCGGGGCTTTAGCTTTCAGAAACCCAACTAGGGTAGAAAGTTTTAGGCCGGGCCCCCTCCAATCCCTCTCTGTATTGTCGGAAAAAGTACCAAAAAAGTCATAAACCTATTGCATTGGTATCAATTTAGTCATAAACCTCTCAATTGGACCAATTTAGTCATAAACCTTTTTACATCGGTGCCAATTTAGTCCATCCGGCTAATTTAGGCCAGAAATCGCTGACGTGGACGCCAACCGTCCTACGTGGCACGACCGGCACTGACGTGGGCATTTTAAAATAACTTTTCGAGTTTTTTATTATTTTTATTTTATTTTCCCTTTTCTTTATTTCTTCTCTTTATTTTTTTTCTTTTTTTCTTTCCTTCCTCTTCCCTCTGTCAGTCACTAGCCTCCACGATGACCGGCGGAGGCCGTCGGCAGTTGGTAGGGGGGGCTAGGCAAGGGCCGGCCTCCCTTGTGGCCGATGAGAGCGTCTTGGCCCTTGCCCTCGCCGGCCGGCGGCGATCTTTGACGATCATCGTGGAGGCCGGTGACTAGCGGCAAGAAGAGGAAGGAAAGAAAAAAAAGAAATAAAGAAAAGAAAAATAAAAGAAAAAAAATTAATAACAAATTCAAAAATTTATTTTAAAATGTCCACGTCAGCGCCGGTCGTACCACGTAGGATGACTGGCGTCCACGTTAGTAATTTCCGGCCTAAATTGGCCGGATGGACTGAATTAGTACCAATGTGAAAAGGTTTAAGACTAAGTTGGTCCAATTGAAATGTTTAGAATTGAATTGGTACCAATACAATAGGTTTAAGACTTTTTTGGTACTTTCCTCTTATATCGTCCCTAGGTATGAGTTAGTATATTGTTTTAAGAAACTCGGGAAAATTATACAAATGGTCATTGAATTTTGATCTATGTGCAATGTCGTCTCTAAACTTATTTGATTCTTAAACTACTAGTAAATTTTTATTCTAGTCCATACACTACTTGAAATGTTCAATAATGTCATTTCGTTAATTCAAGTTAACGAAATCTGATGATTTAACTTCTAGCCCGTTAATTAGAATGGTGGACAATAAAGGCAAGTTACACGTAATAAGATATTCATCTCAGATCATAATATAATATTCCACATCATCATATCGTCCATGTTAACGCCTATTTTTTTCCTTTTCTAAAGTAGATGAATAAAAAAATGTACATGTTGACTTGTCATTTTTAAGACTCCAACTCAGCAAATAATAATTAACGCCATCAAATAAAGTCTAAGGCGTCATTTGAGTAAACGGAATGACTACACTAGACATTTCCTAATAGTTCAAGACCTTATTGAAAAAATTAAAAACTCAAGGACCAACATATTGGGCCAAAATTTCGATTGAACACTCTGGTCATGGCATTGGATCATTGTGTTAATTCTCTTCTAGATAGCCGGTTAACTACGGTCATGTCTTCGGATTATCAAGGCATATATATGGCACCCACATAGCTTCTCAAGGGCAGAAGGGGGATAATAGTATTAAAAGTACTTAACCATTTGTGGGTACAATATGTGGTGTACCCAACCTAAATAGAGGAAATGGCAGGGGTACGCCCAGAGAAAATACAGTGAGTCTTCCGGTGAATGCTCCTTATCCGAGCTAAGGCAACCACAACTTGGTTAGCTTCACGGTAGGCGTGCTTGATGAAAAGCCATTCGAACTCCACCAGTAAGCCCCAACGTTCCATCACAACAAGTTCAATTAGGGGCTTGAGGGAGGAACAGTTGTCGACGACGGTGCTTACAGCAATGCGAGCATTTAACTCCACTACTGCCTCGGGCATGGATGTTTAGTTTTCTTGCCAGTGAAAGCCCATCACATAATACCCGAAATTTAGCCATCACACTTCTAGTTATTCCAATGTTTCTGGAGAAGCCGGAAGTCCAGAAGGCGTCAGGAGTCCCGGATTGCACCTCCTGCACCTGGTCGTCCTGGATTGCCTGAGACCGACCCATCAGGGGTCTGGTTTAGACGATTCATTAGGTTGGTCTAACCCAACGAACAGAAGAACTAGTTTTTGTCAAATGGGGACCTCCTTTCTCTTCCTGTCAGCTCAACGAATTTAGCAGATAAAGCTAGAACAAAGATCAACTTGTGCACCCAGTAAAAGGCTAGTTCAGAATCGCAGAAAAATGTAAGAGTCTTGAATCACAACAAGATCACTAAATAAAAAAGAAAGACGCCAAATGGGAATCTCTTATCTTCACATATCAAATTGTTTCTTGACGATTTGGATGGGATATGACCACTTTTTATTGCAGACTTGTCTGGATTGTGGCCAAAGACAGCTTCAAGGAAGTATCGGGCGCCGTTAGTGGCTTTTTTTAATTCATGGCCTCCTTATCTTTGAAGTTTAAGCAACAATACAAGTCCAGAAAACATTTAATTTACATATTTTAGTTCCTTGCAGATATCATCTTCTTACATTTTCATAGTACATTTCCTGCGTCTTAACATTTAAGTTAATGGCATACAAATGCCTGCTCATTATTGCCATCTTCAATAGACATTTTCATTTAATTCGCGTACAAAAGACAATCCTCAGATGTCAGTGTTTTAATCATTTAGTATTTAGCTCTTGGGTGGGTTCGCATGTGTGATGGCCATAGTAATTGCATAAAGAAGCTTATTACTTGTCTGCTTTTGATCTGGTGCGTCTCACATGTGCTCTTCAATCCAGAAATGTAGGATTCCTTTCAGTTTTTGTCAAAAGGTGAAACTTTAAATGTTGGAGCTCTTGTATGACGAGAGCATTGTGCACGAATATTCCACATGCCACGGCGTCAAGAAAGAAAACGAACAGCATTAAGAGCTAGGAATAAATATATGAAGGTGACCCAGTGGCTCTTGTCCAGCACAAACTCTCCAAACACAAACCGGAAAGAAGAAAAGACATGGCGAATTCAGTGCTCTACGGCATCACTGAGAGAGTCCTGCAGAAGCTGGGCTCTCTTGCCCTTCAAAAAGATGCCTTGGTTGATAATGGCATTGAAGCCAAGCTGAGGAAGCTTCAATACGCATTGGCTTCCATTAAAGGGGTCCTCTTGGATGCTGAAGAGAAACAGGGGGACAACTACAAGCTCAGAGCGTGGTTAGACCAGCTTAAAGATGTCTTGTATGATGTCGAGGACTTGCTTGACGATGTCCAGTGTGAAGCCTTGAGGAAGAAATTGAATGTTCAACAACAAAAACTTGGCAAGGTACGCCACTTCTTTTCTTGTTCTAATCTCTTCACATTCCATCTGAAGATGGACAAAAAGATTAGTGAGATAGGAGGAAGATTGAAGCAGATGGTTGGTGAGATTGAGGGGTTTGGTCTCAGCAAGCGAGCCCGTGATGGCAGTGTAGTAGGAGTGAGAGTGAGAGAGATGAAACCAAACTTGGTGAGAGGATTTGATCCCATCATTGGGAGGGATGCTGATAAAGATAAGATAATTGAGCTCTTGATGCAGCAAGATCTGCCTGGAGATGGCGCAAACCTTTCCGTGATTCCCATTGTCGGTATCGGAGGTTTGGGCAAGACTGCACTTGCTAATTTGGTGTTCAATGACAAGAGAGTGCGAGAACACTTTACTTTGACAATTTGGGTGAGCATGCCCGGTAGTTTTAATGTGAGGCTAATCGTGGAAAGGATCATCCAGAGTAAACTTGGCCAAAGTTCGAACAACTTGGACTATCCCCAGTTGCATACTCTTCTAAGGGGCGTCGTAAGTCGCTGCAAGCT